TCTGCAAGTGCCCTGCTTTCCCGCACATGGGGCATGTCAAGTTCATGATGGGACACATCTCCTTGAGATGGCCGTTTTTGCCACAACAGTAGCAGTCCATCATGGAACCTCAAGTGGTATCACGGTAGAGGTGAGGGCATACCAGCCCGAACACCCAACCTTGGCCCTGTAGTTTATCCTTTTGGCTGATGATCCCATAGCGCAAGTCTCCTCCAACTGTCAGGGGCCACGCAGTCAGCTCTCTGCTGTGCAGGATTCATGGCAAACCCGACTTGGTTTCAATCACGGTTGACAAGACAGGCACCAAAAAGGTCAATGGGAAACCAAAGGCACTTAAGCGGTCGGGTGAATATCCGATTCAGTTCGGTCTTGCATTGGCAGCACTATTTTCCCCTGGAGATCTTCCATCTTCTTCACCGGAGAGGGTTTCATATTCAAACAACCCCAGCCCAAACCCATGTGTGTCAGCCTTGGGTCACAAATTATATAATAAGTATAAGTTGGGCATATGATTCACTACCAGCTTGATCGGTTTGACCCCAAAGAAATATGTTATATTTTTTGGTCCCTGAAATATCTGATTGGTCTATGGGGTTTATAGGGGACAGCATTGAAACTTATTAGTCAATGCCAAAAAAAGGTTGTATTGTTTGATGACCTCCATTGATTGTCAAATTAAAATTTAGGACCCAAATATGTTAACATATTTGGGTCCTAAAGATCTATAGTGCGACCAGTATTCAAAACATAGGGGATCAGATTAAGATCTGTTGCAGCTAGCTCAAATTGCCCTTGTGATTGTGAGCATGGTATCATTGTTACAAAACATAGACCTTAGGATCCATTATGAGTTTGGTATACCCAGCCATTGGCAATCCTTGGGGGCAAACCGTCCCAGGAGATTCAAATTTCGCAGACTGATCCCGATGATAGCGATGACGGCTGCTTAGATGATCTTCTTCTGGGCCCCGAGCGATGTCACTGGCGAAACCTCTTGACCTAGAGGGGAGTCAGGAGCTGGGATTTCTTTAGGACGTGGAAAAAATAAGGCTGCCCTTAAAGCACTCATGTGCATCCGAATGACATATTGTTGCAATGGCATATGACATATTCTACTTTCAGGTTGTTAATCAAAAGTGCATTCACGAGCCATTACTAGCTCAATGCCAGAGAAGAACAAATTGTAGTAGCGATGACTCGTGAGCAATGGCTTCAGTATTTGACGATGATCTCCTTGGAGAAAATTTGTATCTCTTGCTGGGCTGGGCAGCTGCGAGCCTTTTTGTCAAGGCCAGAAACATAAACTATTTCGGTATCATGTCGGTTCAAATGATATGATATGTTAAGATATGATAAAACACTCGTTGGGGCTATGGGACTTAAATACTGGTTTTTATCACACCAAATTTACAATGCAAGGAAACTGTTTTCTAAGACAATGATGCTTATCCTAGAGCCTGCCGCTGCAGGGACGAATACAATCAGCTACGCTGTGTCTCTCGTGATTGCCGGTGCGATCTTGATTCTGATGATGAACCTGAGAGGCAATAAGCAATGGATGAGCATGCGTCGCATGCATGGTATCATAGTTTTGGGTCCACACCGGATTCAATTGAAACTTAGAGTTTGCCATTCATGGCTCAACTTATGATGATCTTTGGGATTGGGGTAAAAAAAGTGTGATAGCTTGCTGATTATTTCAAAGTGGCCCATTGGTTTGTTCAGAGCTTTCCCCAAAACGGTTTTTGGGAATCCAATATTTACCCATATTATAGAGGCTTAATTGAGAACCCCATAGAATAACAAAATGGTCAATGGTCACTTTGAAATACTTTGGGGTGCCCTGGGAGGTGTTCCACCTGTGAAATCTGAGTGCCCCTGCAAATTACTTGGAGTAGGGCTGTGGTGGCTTTTGATATTCTTTTGTAGTCTGACGAAGCGGAATCGTGCAGCAAATCGTTTTGGAAATTACGTTTTTTTTTGAAAAAAATGCCAAAATGGTGCGTGTCATTGCGTGTCATTCGCGTGTCACCTGCCAATGTCGAAGTATATCAAAGGGTCACTTAGCAATATCAAAAGGGTCACTTAGCAATATCAAAGGGTCACTTAAACATCAAAAGGGTCACTTAAACATCAAAAGGGTCACTTGGTATATCGAAGGACATGCGTGTCACTTGCGTGTCGCCAGAGGGGCTCAAACTCGCAATTTTTGCCATTTTGGCAGATTCATCAAAGGCCTCTTTTCAGGACCATATGAATGAAAAACCAGTGAGTTTGCCAAATCTTAATGATATACCCCTTTAATACACAATATTGATTTATTTCCGTCCACAGGACCGATGGGAAAGAACAAAAATCGCCCAAGTGAGAAGACCGAGGCTTTAAAGGATGAGAGGATTGTGGCCAACACTGCCTCCAGCCCAGGAGATGGAAGCTCAGTGACCACAGTTCCCAGGGACAAAAAGGATAAGAAGGATAAGAAGGAAAAGAAGGAAAAGAAGGAGAAAAAAGAAAAGAAAGACACGCAGGTCAGACCAGAAGATACACCAGGGGGTGCCAGCACAAACGCTGAACATACTGTCAAAGATACGGAGATACCTGATGACAAGAAACATAAGACGGAGACAGCAACCGAGAAGAGAGAAAAGAATGCCAAGAAGAACAAGGAAGGAGCAGATCCAAAGATGGCAGGCAGGAAGACAGAGACTCTGGAGACCGGAGGAGGAAGAGACGAGAAGACACGGAAGAAAGGTGAGAAGGATCACGGTGAGTCAATGAAACCAGAGACCGGAGGATACGGGAAAGAAAAGAAGAAGGATGACCATGCAGCCAAGAAGACTCAGAAGAAAGATGAGGAGAAGGATGTAAAGATGGGTGACGATGAGCCATCGAAACCAGAGAGCGGACGAGAGAAAAAAGAAAAGAAGAAGGATGACCATGCAGCCAAGAAGACTCAGAAGAAAGGTGAGGAGAAGGATGTCAAGACTGACACTGCTGAGCCATCGAAACCAGAGAGCGAAGGAGTCAGGAAAGAAAAGAAGAAGGATACAGCCAAGAAGACTCAGAAGAAAGGTGATGAGGATGTGAAGACCGACACTGCTGAGTCATCGAAACCAGAGACCGGAGGAGAGAAAAAAGAAAAGAAGAAGGATGACCATGCAGCCAAGAAGACTCGGAAGAAAGGTGAGGAGAAGGATGTCAAGACTGACACTGCTGAGCCATCGAAACCAGAGAGCGAAGGAGTCAGGAAAGAAAAGAAGAAGGATACAGCCGAGAAGACTCAGAAGAAAGGTGATGAGGATGTGAAGACTGACACTGCTGAGTCATCGAAACCAGAGACCAGAGGAGGCAAGAAAGAAAAGAAGAAGGATGACCATGCAGCCAAGACGACTCAGAAGAAAGGTGAGGAGAAGGATGTGGAGATGGGTGACGCTGATCCAGAGACACCTGCAGCCAAGGAGAACAACAAGACCAAAGGCAAGAAATCAACACAGAACAAAGATGATGACAAGACGACGGAACTCTGTGCCGCTAAAGGAACAACGAAGGCAACTGCAGCAGCCAAGGGATCAAAGACAGCAGCCGAGAAGGAAGGCGAAAAAGGAGAACAAGCCAGAGCCAGCATGGACAGCAGCTTACAAGGTAAAGGAGATCAGATAGCACAGGCTGAAGCAAAGAAACCGCACAAAACAGAAGAGTCAGAGATTCCCGCAGATTTGAGTGTGGGTAGTGAAGATGGCAAGAGCAATGGCACGAAGAAAGGAGAGAAGAAGGAGAAAAAAGATAAGAAGGAGAAGAAAGATAAGAAGGATGAGACAAAGATTGGTGATGCCACAGCCGTGGCACCTGAGGAGGAAGAGAAGAATAGGATGAACACAAGAACTGGCACTAGCAAAGAGCCCAAGCATGACACGGCAGAGGTGGCAATTGAGGTTACCGAGAAGACTGGCAAAAAGGAAAAGAAGAAGAAGGATAAGAAAGAGAAAAAACAGAAGATGGATGACAGCAAGGGAGATGAGAAGGCTGTTGCTGTGACAACTCCAGTGACTTTGAACACAGCTGTGACAGAGACAAACGACCATGGTGCAAAGCCTGTGGTTGACAGCACGGGGACAGACAAGACAAGCAAGGCTATGGGTGAAGATGGGGGCGACAAAGGATCAGGGCAGCCGAAGAGGAAGCATGACACCGAGCTATCCACCACTGCATCCAGTGAAAGCCAAAGTGGGAACGCTAAGAAAAAGAAACAAACTGTTGAGATCGTTCCAGTTGTAAAGCGATCCAACCAAGGGTTTCCCACAGGATGCAGTCCAGAAAAGAAGAGACTGAAGTTTGATTCGGAGTCTGACTTGTCTGGTTCAGAAGAAGAATGCTTCCCAGAGGCCAGGTGGGGGGATGTGATCAATCCTATAGGTTATTAATACAACATCATATGGCGAATGGAATTCAAGTAATGCCATTGAACCTATTCATTCATCCACTTGGATCCCATTGCCCGTCTCTAGGCTTTAGCCCTTTCTAAATTTGTACCTCTTGGCAGGATGCCTCTACTATGACATCACCGCCACCACCACTCGAGCGAGTCAGGACCATGCCAAGCCTCGACCTCTTCAGCTGTTTGGAGGATCTCAAATCCCCAAGTACTTCGCCTGCGACGGTGGCTACTTCGCAGGACTGCTCGGGTCTATGTGGGGTATGTGGCTATATGTGGCTGTTGTCGGGTATCGTGGCACCTATAAGACACCACCCATGTGATACATATTTCCAATCCAATTTTTATGCTTGGATTGGCGTTTTATGTTGCCCAACACTAGTGGTAATGTATTAGGGTCAGCTGACATATGACGGGTGATTATGTGTACATACCTGGCTGGGACAATTACGATACACTCCAGGACACCCCTGGCGATTCTGTACCACAAAGCAGCGAAAAGGGGAAAGATGGAAAGACCAAAAGGATTGCAAAACTGTCACAAGAGCAAAAGGACAAGATTGCCGACATGGCTACTCCGACAGCTATGCCGAGAGATGAAAGAAAGAGGCAGTATGCGGCTTTACGCCGTGCTGTAGTTCGCTCTTGCGAACCGGCCTTGCTAGCCAAGTTCTCTCTCAGCAGTGATGGAGAAAGGTGGGAGGGGTGAATGATTGAACCACCCAAGAGCTTATAGCATATATGATATTATATGTATGATGCTATATGGCTGGTGCATGATAAAAGGTGAACAATTTCAACTCGTTTATTGGTACTTTCCTATGTCTCAAATGATCCCCTCCACTAGGTGGTCAATGCTCAAGCAGTGGATGCTGAGCGATGGGAAGCTTGATTCAATCACTGTGGAGGAAAAGTTCGTTCGATGGTGTGAGCAGCTTCGCACAGACAACTATGTCACGGTCCTTCACAAGCATTTAACATAACAATGGGATTTCGCCACCCCTGGTTTTTAGTTGTTTTCTCACAACTACAACAAATCTACCATACCATAGTAGAAGTTCCCACTCATCCAAGGTGACCAAACTTCAGTTGTACAAGATCTACGGGCGTTCAAAGGAGGCCAAAGGCTTTGTGGAGTCCCTCTGCAAAGGAAACTAGTCCAAACAGGAATAGGGTCCTCAGCCATATTCCCTTATTATCTTTTTCCAAATTTCAAATTTCAAAAGAAATGACACTCAATTGAAGTCATCCTGTCAAACTATCCTTCAAATATCAAATCAAATCATATCATATCATATCCCCACATGGGTTGATATCGAAGATAAGGGATAGGGTCACTCTAAACCATTCTTCCATATCATATCCTCACATAGGTCTGCAAACAATTACAGTAATATTTTTTAAAAAGGGCTCAGATGGTAAACTATCTATTTAAATCCCTATATCTCCAAATAATTCTATTTATTTTAGAAGGGTCCTGATGCTAAACCATTTTTCGATACTCCAATACTCCATCCCGGGGTGCCAAAACAACAGAATCTAAGGACAGACAGGTGTGTCACACCCACAGTGCCCTGAGATGAAGATGTACAAGGTGCTGAAAGAGGTGGTTGAAACCACTTCGTCGGGAACTAAAGGCGAAACTGAGATGAAAGTGGGAGGTCGGGTTAGATCTTCTTCGATGAAGGAGCTGCTATCCAAACAGTTGAAAGTTGGTCTTGACAGCCTAGAGTCCCAGGCGCATATGGACTTGAAAACAGGGACCATAAAGAATAAGAAGGAAAAGAAAGCAAAATCCCCTGCCCAGCTGGCATTGGCCGAAGTCAAGCAGCTGCACAACAAGTTACTCAATTTGCATTACCATTATTCCAGAAGGGAGTCCACCGGTCAAGAAACCTTACAACATATTAAGCAAACATGTTCCATTCCTCATTCAACCAAGGTTGAAGAAGTGCTTCAACGAGATCCCCAAGATCGTCGAGGAGCTGGAGACCCTTCCAGTCCGCAACTCCGAAGAGCTTGTGACTTGGAGAAAATAAGTTCAAGTAGAATTACAACTGAGCTATTCCAACAACCCTGCACTAACAATAGATAAGTCCAGCAGTGTTACATCTTGTTTTTTTTTTATATCTTGGTTATCACCAAACTTAACATATGTTCCCCATCATTCTCAAGAGTTTATGTTTATTAGTTACTAGTATCACTTCCCATATTGGATCTTTGGACCCCATTTCATAAATCGATAACTAAGGTACGTGTGCTGCGCCGACATGAGGAGAGGTTGCCCTATTTGGTTCAATATGCCAACGACAGAGCCTCCAAGCCCCTTTCTGAGGTGATCCCCGAAGAATTTTCAGAGTGGGTGGATTTGCAAAAGCCCACGTTAAGTGAAATTGAGGGAGATGTTCGGGATGGGAGACGCAGGGTCTCTGCAACCAAAGGGCCTCGAAAGAGGGCCAATCAAGCCACGCCTGCGCAGAGTGATGGGGATGATATTTCTGATGGCAGTGGTTCAGAAGTGGAGGGTTGATTTCAATTCAAAATTCATGGGGTATCCATAATGTTTCAGATCATGGTCTTGTTGTCGTAACATTACCTGGAACAGAACCACATGAGTGCCATTCAAATGAGTTGGATGATGCAAAAGGCTATCCAATCCGACATTCAGTTGTCCAATCCCATATTTGCAAACACCCATATGTTTGTTCTTTTAACCCTATCGGTCCCAAATTAAAATATCATTATCTTAGTCTACAGCGATTGTCCTGTGATTCCACTGGGAATGAGATTTGGGTGTTTGCAAAAATCCCGTCTGCGAGGTGGTCCCGAGCCAGGCCAGAAACCCTGGCTTCAGCAACAGCCTTTTTGGATGTATCAAATTTAAATTGAACACATCATATAGGTTTCAACCATTTTGTTTCGATGGCTGTTTGGTATTTTGACATGTCAGTGTTCTTACCCTGACACCATTCTGGGAACACGATCTACTGTAGATCGTGCTGTGTGCGCACAAAACCGTTTCACATCACATATTTAGGGGGAAGAATCGTCAAAAACACCTGGTCACCCCATGCGCCTGCGGCAGTCTGTTGCTGCTTGGGTACGTGTGATCCAGCCTGCATGCAAGGCTTTCATGAATCTTTGGTCTGTGTGGCTCTGGAAGGGGGTAGGGGGCTACTTGGGGGATTATTTATAATAATATGTTATATTCATATGTCATCCCCCAGAAACTACATAAATTGGCATAGGCATTGAACCCTGCAAACATCCCACAATAGCCATTGAAAGTCTTTTTTTTCTGTTGAAAACATTTGGCAACATATACTATACTATTTAGGTGCTTGATCAAATATCGGCTGATGTGCCAAAAAAAACACTTCTCGACACCACACCAGTTGGGCTTCCTAGAAGAGCAATGGATCTGGTAGAGGAATTTTTGGAGCTGGGTAGGAAAGTATCTTGGTTGCAAAAAAAAACAACATAAACACAATATGCATGACATTTCTCAAAAGGGGGAACCATTCTGTTTCCTTAGGTAAGCATTCGTACTTTGATGTCTATGCTGGGCCTCATCCGCAGAAGATTCCCTAGAAGGTTGTTACCGTCCCTTAGGATGCAATCAAACATTTCTGCATTAGAACAATTCAGTGAGATTAATTAAGGAGGTTATGGTACGGAACCAGCACCCAAGGCCAAACATGCGAGAACTTCTGCGCATGGAAAGGCTCGACGAGAAGAACGCACAGAGAATCTTTTGGGATTGGGTCTCGAATCAGGAGTGGAGACGCATGCTTCCCACTCCCGTCGAGTTACTCTAGCTATTTTTTGTGATGTCAAGTTTGCACGTATGTGTGTTTATGTTTTTTGTTTGGAAGCTATACACATGTGTTTGTGGTATACTTTGTGAAACTAAGGGTGCCTGTCGTACTGGAAGACCCTTCCTATGAGAAGAAGTACCACCTTTCATCCTGGCACGTGTTCCTACCAACCGATGTGAGTCATGGCCAGTATTATGAGTTCATATGAGTTCAATGTTCCTTGTGTCTGCACGTTGCTGCCCTTGCATGTTATGGGGGGTAGGCCTTGTTTGCCAGCTGAGGTTTGCTTCCATCTACAGCTATGACTGGCAGCTGTTCAAAAAACGATTTATTGGAGATGACGACAATGTTCCTTGTTTTTGATACGTCCACTTGAGAACACACTACATGCGCTGCCAGGGTATAGTTTAAGAGTTTTAAGCTTTCTTGATTGAGGCAATCATGCAATTCTGGGATCACATGAAGCACTCTGATTTCTTCAAACAACACCCAGTACTGAGTGACCCAGCTACTTGCCAGCATTGTTCAAACTTGCAAAGACTGGTTCATTAATGTTCATTCATCATTCTTCGTTTCTTAAGGATACAGATCTGAGAAAATGTATCCCGTTGATCCTGCACGGGGACGACTGTGAGAGTCATCGCCGCCGGAGCTTCACTGTTTGCTCTTTTGCCTCGTTACTGGTGAAGAATTGCAGTGTTTGGGACAGTCGTCTTCTTTGCTACTGCACTGACAACAGTAGGAGTTGCAATGAGACTGTGGACACGTTGGATGCATGGTTGGTACATTCCCTGACAGAGCTGATGATGGGACGTTTTTTCGAAATTGGACCATTTGGGGACCCAATCCCTGGTAGGGAGAACAAAGGTGGTCAAGAAATTGCTGGAGGGTACAGGGGAATTTTGACTGTGCACCGTGGGGACGAGAAGTATCTTGTCAAAGCTTACCACCTGACTATTTCTTGGCTGTCGCAACGTTGCTGCTGGTCTTGTCATGCATCTCGGATGTCAAACTCAGAGCTGCTTTTTACCCATTTTGGGCCCAATGCACAACATCGACAAACATTGGTGGGGACTGCTGAGTTCATCCAGTCTTGCAAACCTAATGCATGGGTAAATTTGCCCGGATGGCACGTGGAAGTGGTGAGCTATGACTTCCTTCATGTGTTTGACTTGACCTTGGTGCCAGACGCAGCTGCGTCGGTTTTTTTGTTGCACTCTAATTGTACGTGTGTGCATGTGTGCATGCTTTGTGCCTGTGATTCTCCAATGGTGTTTGAGGGAAGTACAAAATGTAGAAATGAATTGAGGCTCTTGTGGAACTATCACAAACGGATGAAGTATGGGAAGGCACTGTATGTGTAGTGTTGCGCACAAGGTTCCCACATAATAGTGAATGTCACATCATGCATGCAATATGCAGGTGCAAATCCTGATGAACGCCTACAAAAGGCATATGTGGAGTTCTGCAGGTTGTGCAAGACGCACAGGATTCGAATCTAGGATGTTTATTAAGGCTTGAGAAAAACGTCGTTGTTGTTGTTGTTGTTGTTCTCGTGGCTCAGGAAACCGTGGACAGTTTTACAAGCTGTCACTGGGCTTTGTTTATCGTGGGGGGATGTCCGGTTTTTGAAGCATCTGTCCAGTTTGGATGCAATGGGATTGGAAGTTTTAACAATGCTAAGGAGGCACCTACAAGTCCAGAAGCAGTACCCGAGCCTGGCGCAAAAGCACTTCAATGGATCAGAACATACCTCAGATGTTTTACATACTTGATGTTTGATGTTGTTTGTACCTCTAAAGGCCAGCCGACAAAACCATTACCTTTTGTGAATGTAAGGAATCTGTTATCCTAGCTCGATGGCTAATGGGAATCACAGTGGCAATTGCTGAGCAGCGGCCCCAAGATATACATGCACAGTGTCTTGGTGACAAAATGTTGCAAGCTTTGGTGCATGGATATGCTGATAAAGTTTGGGGTTGCTTGAGATTTCCGGACATTGTTTTTTTTTTCCATTAAGGCTACGTGCTGCTGTGTTTGTCAATGCCGTTGCAATTCGCCAAGCCGTTTCCCTCCAGCATGGCATTGTTTTGCCACCTGAGAGCTTACAGAAGCTCCAAACTGCAAACTATCTTTTCCACAGCGCTTTGAACAGTTACTGAGTGGCAACATATGACAAGAGTCAGGTTTTTTCCCCAAGTGCCCCATAGGTAAATGCTATTTGTTGTTTGTTCGACTAAGGCTTGGCGCAAGAGGCGGTGGCCGAAGGGCGTCTTCTTTGGAAGATTCGCCCAAAGTTGCATAAGTTGCTTGGCTCTGAGGCCAACATCTCCTAGAGGTATAGTAAGTAATTTTGGGTTTCTGAACCAAGAACGCTTTGGAAATTCAAGGGTATGTTTTTGTTGGAGGGTTGTATGCATGCAGTTTTTCAAGTATGCAATGGGATTGTTGTTCAATTTTACATTTGTTCCATAGGGAAAACTATCCAATCGTCCCATCAATACATTCGGGTAGTCAGCAAACACAATAATCTAAGGATGGACCACTTGGCTTTGGACCAGGCACCCCGCCTGTCGCCGATGCACACATCGTGCTACGGCGACGAGGATCTGGTGACCCTCATGCGTTAGTGTTCACTGTGTCGCTTATGTTTGAATGTCACCTCTATCTTGTTTGAATATCATTTGATTGCATTTGTTTTTGGCACCCTAGGCGTAACCTAAGTGCCCCTTTGATATTCCTAAGTTACCCCTTTGATATTACTAAGTTACCCTTTGATATGTAATTAGCTAAGTGACCTCTTTACCCCCTGTACACATCAAAAGGTCACAATGAGGTACCTGGTATATATTGGGAATAGTAACCCCAACTGACTAATATTTTTCAGAGGGGTTGAAACCACCAACCAGTATCACATAGACCATAAATCATCCATTTTTGTTTGGGATTTTCCATGATAAACCAACCATTTTTGGATACCCGCATCTGTGGAAAGCCTCATATAACCGTCCAATGGGAATTCAGTGACTTGACCATCACCGCCAGTCATCACTGACCGGGCTGAACAGCTGGTTGGGAGCCCGAGAAAGTCCGGCTCGCATTTTCCGAAGCCCAAGTCGTATGGCATTTTTGGGCACCTGGGAAACTATGATAGCTATGGAAAATGGTCCATCGAATCCATTGCTTGATTGGTGATTTGCTTAGTTTTGCAGCTCCAAGTCATGAAAAATCATGATAAATGATAGCCACCTTTGGAAGGTAGGCAGTTTACTCCGTCAAGAGGCTTGCACCTTGCACGCAGCTCCCACGTGGGCAGCTATACGCAGCTCCAAAAAGTCCATGAAATGTGAGTTTACCAGAGATCCAATGGTACCCACTAGTTCTTTGGTTTTTTTCTGCATTTTAAGAGACGCAGATCGATATGGCGCAAGTTTTTTTGACTCCTAAGCCAAGACTGAATGGTTCATATGACAGGTACCGATTGTATTGAATGGCATGTTTTTGCACAACAGAACTTTGGAACAAACGGGGGCGCTTCCAATCGAACGGGGACACGGATTCCATGCCCATCTTGGGTCTCATGGGATTGAAGGGAACAGGAAACCATGAGTTTTTACCAAAGGGCCCCCGAAATTTGTTGATGATTCGTGGGCATAATTTCGAAATCCCATAATTGCATGTTTTCTCATCCAAATACATGATGTACTTGAAAATTGTGTCATTGTCCCCCAACATTTATGAGCCAGGGCCATTAATTTAGGGATACTTCTTGTATCGGGAGCAGAAATGTTCTTGGCCAAATTTTCACGGATTCCTGGGCGGGATATCCCCCTTTTGAGGTCTTTGGCGTGGCTGTGACACTGCTTTTGGTGGTGGTCTCTGGCAATCTCATCCACCGTGTCTCGATCATGAACTCATGGGCAAGAAAATTGGCGATTGTACTAGCCAATCTGGTGCTTTGGAAGATGAATGGATTATGACTTTCCATATATTGGGAATATAGTAACCCCAACTGAGGGGTTGAAACCGAAACCACCAACCAGCAATATTTTGGAGATGATCATAATCCATTTTGAGGTATCTAGGTCAAATTTGGGGAGGTTCGGTCTAGGTCAAATAATTTGGTCATCCGCAAACAATCAAAGGATACGACAGCCAGCAGCTATTTCTATTGTCGCCGCAACGCGGGTAGATGGTTTTTTACCTGTATGGATCAGCGCTTTTAGTGAAACCGTGAAACTATCATGGACCATGCAGAATCCTAACCATTCAAGCAACAGGTCTGAGTATTGCTCATGGTGCTTGCTGGTGCGGCCCCCCACATCAGCATCCAGTTGAGTTTCAATGCTGTTGAAACCACCAGGTCGGAGTCCATGAGTTCCCTCTCTCAAGAATCAAGGTTCACTTTATTCACATTCTACCCTCTGGTAAACTAACGTAACTATGGAAAATCACCATTTCTAATGGGTAAATCCACTATAAATGGCAATTTTCAATAGCTATGTTAAATTACCAGAGGGTACTTTTTGGTTGACATTCAACAGATTGATCCATTTTGATCCCTTAAAAAACGGGTTGTTCATCCCGCATCTTCACCCAATGGAAAAACCCCATGGTTTTTGTCATCCAGCGAAAAATCATCAGAACTTCGTCGACTCCAAGGCGCGAGACTGAACTTCCTGCCTGAATCCTTGGTGTCTGTGATTCTGGGTGCCATTCTGGGCTTTGCTTCTCGGACATCTCGGACTTGGTGAAGGTTTCGACACGAAAATCCAGGGAGATTCCCATGTGTTTCTGTCCATAGGATGATGATGTTCCTAAAGTTGAAAATACCCAACCTGGTTATGACTAACTAACAGTTTGCCATGGAACAATCCACCATGCTATTAATAGGTAAACCATCTATAAATGGTTATTTTCCATGGCTATCTTAAATAACCAGATGGTAAGACATGTGCAGAATGGGAGTGAAGGAGTAATCAACAGATGGAAGACTGACCGACCCACTACCTGTCATGCAATGTTCCAATGTCTGTCAGGACAGTCAGAGGGTTTTACCTCGCACAATGACCCGATAAGTGAAAATCTGACTTGGAATGTTTAAGAGAAAACCCTGGATCACACCTGTGATCTTCCTTTTGAACAGATAAATCTCTTACTGTAAACTGATCTCAAATTGATGGGCTCCTTCCAGTTCCAGATACTTTCATGAGATAAACTGACAACAGATGCTCGCTGGTAACCAACTGTGCTTAGTGCAGAAGACTCGGAGGTCGGCGCTAGAACAATTTGCACATGCAGTAGGATGAAAAAACATATTAATACTTCCTATCTGTTTGAAGCACATTTTTTCTCCGTACATTTATGTGCAGTCAACATCATTCAACCCTGATTGGAGGTTTGGAACATGAATTTTATTGGGAATAATCATCCCAACTGACTAATATTTTTCAGAGGGGTTGAAACCACCAACCAGAACCATATCAAGCCGAAATTTCAGGTTTACTCACTGGGGTGAACTCCCAAATTGGCTTTGATCGGCCGTACGTTTTTCAGGCGCTCTATGCGTCCGATTGGGGCGGCGAACGGGACAACTTGGACCCCAAGTTGCAGTATGCCGTCTTTAGTCCCTCAGAGGAATTGAGCCATGAATCATGTTTAATAATGGTGAATAATGGTTAATAGTAGTTTATAGTGGTTAACAATGGTGTAAATTTAGCAATTAAAAGAACCTGGTTGATTGGTGCATTTGTTGGAATTTCTACTACCTAATTTATTGGGAATTATGATAACCAATAGTTAAAGAAACCTATCAACCAAGGTCCACCAAGTATCATTAGATGGGATAGGGCGGTATTTTTCTCATGGCCCAATTGATCAGTTGCAGCTTTAATGCGGTTTTAAGGCGTTGATGTTGATGTTGATAGTGATGTTGGTTGATGTTGATATCGATGTTGATATTGATGTTGGTTGCTGTTTACATGTTGATTGCTGAGTATTGGAATGTTTTGGGTTGGGAATATGTATATTATTTTTTACATGTACATAATGGGTATGATTGATTTTTAAGCTAACAGTATGGTATGTGATGGTATTTGTTGTTGCAGGCACGTTGATAAGCACCCATGGTGTTTTAGCACATTTTATGACATTTCTACTACAGTTTCACTTAACTATATACGTTCGTGTTGTTTTGGGTATTGGGGTTGGGGCTTTGGTTGGGTTCGTAATAACGGTTTAATAACGTTCTTGCCTTTTGCGTGTTGATAATTGTTCTTGGATCTTCTGACACGCTCTTGATGCTACGCTGTGAACTTGTTCTTGTAACACGTTCTTGATGCTACGCTGTGAACTTGTTCTTGGAACTTGGCACACAATGTGTTGACCACTGGTGGCAAAGTCTTGAAAAGGCATTGCCCCAATCTCTTCATGTCAAAGACAAACCTGGAGGCGGCATTGCTGAAAAGCTCATTTTGGGGCTTCGTGTGGCGAAACAATTTTCACAACCATGACCATGCCAACTTAACAAAAGAATTGGGCAAAATCATGTGACTTCAATTGCAGTGGGTGAGAAGATGAAAAAACTATATACTTTTGAGCGAAAGGGAGGTTGGACGACTCGAATACAAAAATACCGATGAAAGACGACCCTGTGTGCCCCAAAACCACAGCGAGACACTAGTTTCATTTTCACAAAAGGCACAAAGCGCTGTAAGGGTTCCAAATTTGAAGTTATAGAAACAGATGATTCAACAAATAACCCACGGTCAAACATCTGCGTGTGACCTTGTTGTTGCTTGATGATTTTGATGTGGGCTCTATTGACCTACGCTTTCGAGAAAAATAGGGGATTATGATAATCCATGAACTGGGATGTTGACCAAATCATTAAAATTGGGATTTTCCAAGTGTTTTTTTGACGCTGAGAACTTGGTGAAGGCTACAGAATATGGAGCTATTTTACCAGCAATTGCAACCACCAATAAATTCCAAATTGAGATATCATTAATGTAACTTGCTAAAATTTGGTGAAGGGTAGTTTAAAACTCACTATGCAATCTATATAGAAGTCTTTGCCACTGATATCTTGACCGCGTGAAGATCAAGTTTGTTGCAGAGTACCTATGATTGACCAGGACATACCCTTCGGTCATTCAACATACGGAAAATTGCCAATTTAGATGTAATTTGCCTATCGCATATTACACATACAATGTGGGGCCCCCCAGTTGTAAGTTGGTTTAGATTCACCCCATGAATACTATAGTTATTTGAGCACCATAAACCATAGTTATTGGAGTTATAAACCAACATAGTAACATAGCTATCTTGGGGGCCCCACATTGTAGTTATTTTCCATTGCTATGTTAAATTGCCAAAGGGTACATGGAATTGACGCAGGTGAACTTGGAGTCACCAGCCATGTTGATATTTACCAACTCACACATTGGCCAACGTCGCATGATACTTTGAGTGGAGGTAGTTTTAATCAGATCACCTAAATCAATGGGAACTCCAGGATGTTAAAATGGAGGTACGTTAGTACAATATAAGACCATATTTTGCTGGGATATTCCCTGAAATTCCTGAAAAATAGGCCCATTTGGATGAACGATCGACCTCGACCGACCTCACTGACACACGTCACGACGTAAATTGTGGTTAGTGTTAGTAAGGGGAAGTTATTAACGGTTGAGGTTATTAATGGTTATTAATGGGGGTTGTTAATGGTTATTAGTGGTTATTAATGGTTATTAATGGTTATTAATGGTTATTACTAATGGTTATTATGGCATTGTTTGACAAAACATATCTCCAAATACCCTCTGGTAAACGTTTACATAGCGAACTGGAAAGATCCACCATTTTATAGCTGGGAAAATCAACTATTTCGACTGGGCCATTTTCAATAGCTATGTAACAAATTACCAGAGGGTATCCCAAAATGGCATTGTTTGAGGTTATTAATCAGGGGTTGGTAACTGTCCCATTTTGGGAATATTGGACATCACCTTATAGTAGCCATTATAGACCATATACCTAATGGTTGGGTGATGTTCAATGGGGACATTTAATGACTCATGTTAATGGTTATTATAATTTATCCAGACCCATGGTTGAACAATGTGTGGTGGCCCTTGAAGGTTGCGGCCAAACCAGGAAACAATGCGAGAACCGAGTCGTTTGTACACGCGGGTTTCCTACTCGTCCTGACATGTGCACGCAAAGTTTCTCCAGTTTACAGGTGAATCTATGCTATTTTCCTCCGACTCTTTCTATTCGAAAAAAAAACTGTTACTAGTTTCTTTGCAAGTACACTCTACTCTGCTCTTACTGTACTTTATTCTCTTTCACTTCACCTGACTCAGCCTAGTGGACTTAAGACTTTGTCCAGGACACTTAAGATTTTGAGTGACTTCTCGCATTTCGAACTGGTTCACTGCATTTAAGACTTCTGAGATGCTTCTGTACTTCCGGTTGAGCTGACTTAATTTATTCTACTCTACCCCACTCCTCTCTTGTCATCGTGGCTTCACGCCTCTACTTTCAGCGTGCAGTGCCTGTGTGTGGCTGCGTGAACCAACTCACGTTATCGGCTCCTCTCGTCATCACAAAGTCAATCGGTTCCAATCTTTATCCATTTGGATCAAAGGTAATGAGCTGGAAATGCCCACTTGGTTTTGAAGTGCGGACAAAAAAATCTTTAGATAGTAATATAGTACAACTTATGTTGATGGAGCATATTCATTTCTATTATTGTCCTTTGCCTATAGAATTAATATCTAAACCTGTTGTTTTTCCAATCTTCATTGCACTTAGGTGGGTCCAGTACTCGACCTCTAGAGTTGGTTTACCCCACCAATACAGTTGGCTTGTTGGCCCTTGGAGGATCAGCGAAGCTCAGTACAGCCGTAAATCTTTGGGAACCTGGGTGATTGTAAGTCCCCTCAACTGACGTTATCCATGTTATCCAAATTGATCCAATCACTGGGTGAATTATACTGCTTGGTGGTTTGGAACCATGGAATTTCATGACTTTCCATTCAGTTGGAAATGTCATCATCCCAACTGTTACTCACTCCATCATTTTTCAGAGGGGTAGGGCTCAAAACCACCAACCAGTATATAGATACATCACCTATAAACCATAGTTATTTTTCTAGATATATCACCTATATATAAACCATGGTAACCATAGTTTCAGAGGGGTAGGGCTCAGCTCAACCACCAACCAGACTCTTCGTCCGACAAAAATCGATTCGTGGGGTCGTTCGCAGGCACCTTTTGGGCTTTGTTTGTGAATCAAGCCACGCCGTGTTCAATAATTGATATACCATTGATATACCATTGAGTCTGGGTAAATTATAACGACCTCACTACGACCTCACTGGAAATCATGGTTAGTAAGGGAAATCATCCCCAAATGGCCTTAATTCAGGTTTGTGAAATATTATAATTTACCCAGATTGAGTAATTTAACATCAATGGTAAGCCACATTACCACATTGATTAACCACATTAATTCTTACAATAGATTGGTTGGTTTAAGGGAAAATCTTAACCGGAAACCATAGATTTTCCCATGAAGATCATGGGGTTTTCTACTGAAATTTTCCCAAACAAACCAATCTGTTGGCGTGTGGCAAGCGCCGTCGTTTCAGCGAGGTTTATCCTTGAAGTTGTTCTGCTTGAAACTTGGATCCGTGGGGATGGAAAGCTGCGAGCCAAGCCATCGGGAACTGGGAAAATCCACCCTAATTTTCGTAAACAATGAAGGTTTATAGCTTGGAACATATGTACATTTTTGGTGTGTTGAAAGTGTTTGGGACAAACTGCTAGAATAGAGCATGGTAAAGGATTCTCAGCTTTGGATGATATACTTCAATATCTGGTTGGTGGTTTGGAACATGACTTTTATGAATTTCCATATATTGGGAATAATATTCCCAACTGACGAGCTCATATTTTTCAGAGGGGTAGGTATAGCACCAACCAGATATGTTCGAATCTGGTTTTGTGCATTGTTTCATATGGCCACAACTTAAAGCCGCGGCTTTCCTGGAGATCATCATCCTGATCCCGGATTCACATCCGAGGCCGATGATCATCTTTGAATCTGGTTGGTCTTTACGGCAACGGGACTTTTTCTCTCAGACGCACGGCAGTGATGTCCTGGGGGCCCCTGAAAAAAAACCACTGGAAACGGTGGCCTGAAGGTGTAGCATGATCCATACATGTAATGTTCATGTATGTTGACACACAATTTGAATATATATATATATAATCTGTTGTACATACATGTATGTTAATCATTAACATTGTTCATATGTATTGTACATGGTTTGATCGTTGTCCAGCCACCCGCTGACATGATGATTCCCCAACGGTTGCAATTTCCAAACTGTTGGGTGATGGTTGCAAGAAGGCCCCAGTGATGTTTGTTGGTTCGATACCATAACTTCATTCACAAACCATTCGTTAGCCTAGTGACATATTAAGAGAACTTGCCGAACTGGTTGTTTAGGGTGTTTTTTGTCGGGTTTTTGTCAACGAATCTGCTTGGTGACATCCGAAACTGCTACGATTGTGTTTTTTAAATCTCTGACGCTAGTAAGATGGTTGGTTGATGGTCATTGTGGATACATGCGGTGTAAATCTATCACTTGGGCGTTCTTTACCACTGATGGCTAAAACGGCAGCGGCTATGTAAAAACTTGGTGGCTTCAACTATGGTTGTTCCTGATTTAGGCGGATCATCCCCAATGAAACTGCGGCTTTGATTCTTGGGGTGCAAACAGTACCAAAAACGACTTTTCAGAGATCAAAGAACCATGGGTAGAAACGGAAAGCCTTTACCAGCTGTGTCTCTACGTAGGTCCTGAGGTGATGATTCCAATTTATTGTGATTGTCTAAGGGCCAAGGTGGCTCACCCACCTGGGGTAGAGACTGAAACAAAGCAAGATTGGCCATCCATATCATCCATGGCTCTGACTCTAACCCCATTTGTTTGACTCAATATTAGGTGGTTTCCAATTCATGGGGGTACCCCTAGTCATCATCCATTTAGATGGGATTTTCCCGCAATTTAATAAACCATCCATAGCTCGCTATTGGGGTACCCCCATTGATGGAAACCCATTTTTGGGCCATCCCATGGCATCCCATGGCCAAAAAAAGAACCGTAGGGTTCCAACCCCAAGGATCGGCTATATTCTGATCATTGCCATCCTTGGCACCAGTATTTCGGTCGTTGTTGTTGCGGAATTTCTGATGTACACCTCGGATTATCACAACATCAAGGACGACGGGATGTTTTTGGCATGTGACATAGTGTGGCTCAATCGTTCGGAACGTAGGTGATGGTGCAAGCGTATAGAACCAGATGGTGTTTGCAAGTCAACAATTAATAGATCATGCGAGAAGAATAAAAAATGAAGTGTGTTATAGCGAATGTGGATTAACAAATCAGTGGCCAGTGATTTCAAATGACCGGACGTCTAACCAACATGTGTTTCTTTCTTGATGGAGCCAAGAAGTGGTTTCTTGATATATCTGGATATATTGGAACATCGACTACCAACATCTACCAACCATCTTAACGAATGAAGGGATTCAAAATTACCGATGATTGCGATAGCCGGTGGTACCATGATAAAACTAATTACAGCCCCCGCATAAGAACTGTATTGCTAGTGATGTGAAGTGCTTCACGACATTTCACAACACAGAAACGTGGAGAGGTCAAGATCGAGAGACACTTCAGATCTGGTGATGGATTGGTCCCTAAATATGTATGGGAACCGGGTCTCAGTCCGTTTTCATCATCTGGATGATGTGTATTGTTGTGTAATGTGGGTTAAACAATGCCAGAAACCATCCCCCAATCATCAGTATTTTTATAGGTGGTATGGTTACCATTCCAAGTCAGGGGTGGTTTATGGCATGGTTTTGCACACTACTTACCCTCTGGCTATTTGACATTACTATGGAAAATGGTCCCTTTATAGACGATAAGCATGATGATTTACCTATCCAAAATGGTGATTTTCCATAGCTACGTTAAATAACCAAACGGTAATTTTTGTGCTTATCCTTACATAGAGGGCCATCAGAGATATCCCACGGAAGGTGACCTTGACGGTTAGTCATGTTAGGCACCTGCAGGGATTGTGAATGAACTGGCTCGGTTGCCGCCCACAAACGAGTTGCCAAACATATTCTGGAAGTTCTTGCCATGTTTAACAAGGGTTATTTACGCACAGTTTTTAATTCTGTTCTGGTTCTGGACGGGTTGCAAATTGTATAGTCTTACACTTTGATGATTACCTTATTTGGGCTTAGATGGCTTCACAACATATCACACTCAAAGGCACTCGAACGAAAAAAACACAGCAGATGGCTAAAACGCAAACTTGGATGTGCATCCCAGTGCTAAAAGTGCTAAACATCAATCCAGTCCTGGCATGTTCTCAGTTGAAAAGGTTTTTTTGGGGGTTATGAACTATAGAAACATCTAGACACATCTAGAAACCACAAAAACTATCCACTCCATATGCTCCATGTATGGAATAGTTATCAACATTTACCTTCAAAATCACCCAAATGTAATAGCTAAATATACCATACATAGAGCATCTGGGCACTGTGATACACCAAAAATCGCCATAGTTTTTGCCCAGCAGTTGCCCCAGCAGTTCGGCTTTTTTTAGACGTTCAGCAGGACCCCAGAACTGCCGCGGCCTACGCCGCCTTGATCAGCTCTACTGCAACTTGGCATCGATGGTCATGGTTTTTCTTCGTGACCAGGGCACAGAATATGATGCCAAACGGTTGATCTATTTTTTTTGCTTGACATCATGTTTTTTTCACGACTAGATTTGTAAGTTTGAAGAAAATCGACTTGAAACCAGCTATTTATCATGGCTCCCAAGAGTGGTCAAATCACAGCGATTGGATGCCAAAATTCATGCCACTTCTCCTCGAAGATTCACCACCTTGATATCCAGCAGAGTATCCACCAGTTGGTACGACAATGACTTGACACATTAACATTCCCATGTCTACGATTACACATTCAATGTATATATATATATAGACATATATATATATACATAGGTATACATTATATATATATATACATACATAGGTATATATATATATATATACATAGGTATATATATATATATGTATAATACACATTCTAAATGACAATTTGTGACGCTTAAATCACCATTTCTATTGCCAAAAGCCCTGGCTCAGTGTCAGATACTCCGATCCTGAGGATCCGGTAGCAACCCTTGCCACCTTCGGAGTTGCCTGGCGACGAGTTGAGAATTCACCATTGATAAAAGGAATCTTCCATATAATTATATGTATGTTTTATCCATGTTCTCTTATTAACGTTCCAGTTAATCATCTGGTTTTAGTAGATCCATAGATATGTTCAATATATCCTATCATAAATTATCTATAGACAAGTCCTATGAGTCCTATTATAGATCTATCTGGGTAAATTAAAACGACCTCACTGTTCTCCCGAGCCCTGGAATCATGGTTTATTTTGGGGAAATCATCCCCAAATGGCCGAACTATTCAGGTTAGTGAAATATTATAATTTACCCATATATATGTATATATATATGGTTGGTGTTTTGGAACATGAATTTTATTTTTTCCATTCAGTTGGGAATAGTATTCCCAATTGACTTTAATATTTTTCAGAGGTAGGTATACCACCAACCAGATATATGTATATATATATAGCTATAATATGGGGATAATACCACCATGGGTATATAATGAGGATACAATGAGAACACTTACATGGATTAATACCATGTATTTAAAACTGGATAGACTATAAGGAAACCAGCAGCAAAATTACACAATGTAATTGGGATGTACCCTCTGGTAAACTAACAAAGCTATTGAACATGGCCATTTATAGTTGATTTATCCACTACAAATTGCGATTTTCCATAGTTATGTAAAGGTTTACCAGAGGGTAAGCAATGAATAGTGCAATGTTGATATTTCATGATTCTTGGTGCTTCCCCAACTGGATGAGATCATCGCCCTAAAACAAACGACCGCATTGGTGGGTTCACCATCCACGAGGTGGCGCAACATTGAACCAACGCCAATCTTGGATGGGTACCCTCTGGTAAACTAACATAGCAATGGAAAATCACAATTTTTAATGGGAAAATTCACTATAAATAGCCATTTTCAATTGCTATGTTAGTTTACCAGAGGGTACTTTAATCCTTTAGTCTTTTGGTATCAATGGGATTATCTACTAACCAGCCAATAATTTTTTATTTTTTGCAGGGTATCTGGCTGATTGGCCCTGATATCAATGTCAACTGATAAAGGCTCTGGTGGTTAATTTTGGGCATATTACCTTTGGTACTTTTGTGCTAACTATGTTTTTTGCAGTAAATAGGGATATGTACTGAGCATCTAAAATAATGGTGCAGGGTATCCAAGGTTGGCAATACAAAACAATATTCAACCAACATATCACCAGATCATATGATATATGTTCATTTAATTTAATCTCATATAATATCACAAAATATCATTGGGTATAGTATAATACATTATGATATGTAATATATGTTCATATAACATCATATAATGTAATATCTTACTGTATCATAATCACATCATAATTATATCATATACCGGGGTAAACCAACTGGTTGGGGCGGGATTTAACACTCCAGAATGGAGGCAACCTACTGTGGAAGCAACTTAAAATATGGGGAGTTAGGTCACCATCAACGATCATTGGAATAGTTGAAGGGAACATCTCAAAACCGAAAACCAATGGGTTTTTACCATCAAATTTCTTGGGTTTTCCTAGCAAAAATCCCCTGAAACCAATCCAATGAAACATGCGTCTAAACCAATCGGCAAATTGATTGGGTTACCCTCTGGTAAATTTTCAGACCCTGAAGTGATAGCCTAGTTTTAATGGAAACTCATCTTCCAATGACTGCCAGGGTCTATGTTAATTTACCAGAGGGTAATGTTTTTTCTGGAGGAATCAGCTGATTTCATACTGGGAAGCTACGTCTGACTGTCCTTTCACTCAGCTGAATAATTTTTGTTGTTGGCGCCTGGAATGGTGATTTTATCATGGGCATAACTCAAAAATATCAAAAAGAACTTGGGTCATTAGTGATTAAGCAACAAAACTATGGATTTAACCAAAAAACATACGTGGATTTCAGCGATCAGAAATGTGTGGATCTACCTGATGACTACTGTAGAAAAATGGTAGTTTGAAATATGGAACATGTGGATTTAACCAACAAAATGTGTGGATGATAGACGCTACAAACCAGTGGAGTGTAAGTTCCCCACACAGGGGGATTAGACCAAGGTTTTGACGGCTCGAAGGGCTTGAAATCCACCAGAATCACTAGGAAAATCCGTTGGAAATCTGAAAATTGGTTGATATCTGGTAAACTAACATAACTATGGAAAATCACAATTTTTCATGGGAAAACTCACTATAAATGGCCATTTTCAATAGCTATTTTGACATAACCAGAGGGTAACCATATCCGCGGGGACGAACGACTATCTTATGGCCAGCCGGGCAAAGCCAAGCGGAGGCTGAAGGCAGCGTGTGAGAAGGACTGGAGTCCTGGAGTTGTCGCGACATTGTTTCGCCGTGTCGCCCCAGCTGCCGCAGATGTACCGGGAGGAGCACCTTGTACCACAGATTACCTCTTTTGATGGTGTGAAATCTGTCAGCAATGGCGGAATGGCAAGGGAGCACCGAAGCCGGTCGGAAGGAAGCGCTGTCGGAGGAGTTGGGGCACACCGTTTTTGAAGCCCAATCCAAACGGAGGGGACGCCCAGCCCGTAGCAGGACCATTTTGTTGCTGCACAATGGAACTCCGCTGGTGTCAGGGAGATTTCGCACAGGAAAGTACCTGGTTTGTTGCATTTTCCGATTGGTAAATCCACTGGAAAGAGGGAATCTACAGGGGTTATACTATTATACCCTTCAGTAAATTAACATGTCCATATGAAAACCCACCAGGCATGTAATGCGGGTAAAACAATAATAAACCACTTGGGAATGGTTTATACCACCTATTTATGGTGATTTGGGGGATGGTTTGTGGCATTGCTTTACCCGCATTATATACCCTCTGGTTATTTAACATAGCCATGGAACATTGCCCATTTGTATCATTTATAGTTTTTGTTTGATGATTTACCTATTAAAAATATGTAAACATGTATATTTATATATCCTCTGGTCATGACTAACATAGCCATGATGATTTACCTATGAAAAAAATGACCATTTTTTCCATGGCTATGTGAGTCAGAACCAAAGGTAACAGGAAAATCCTTGGGTGAAACACCAATGGAGGTGAACATCCAGATGGCCCTCCCCATGGCCCATGAAGTTTGTTGGTTATGTCCCCATATCCCATAGAACAGTCCCATAAAGTTATTTTTTCTTTGCCTCTGGTACTGGAACATGGTTTATTTCTTTTGATGTTTCTGGGAAAAATCATGACTGTCAATTAAGCATTCCATAACTTAAACTATGTTAAACTATGGCAAAAAAGCCGCTGTTTTCTAAATTTGCCCATCAGCATATTACCGTGCCCCGAAAAAGGCGATGAATGTGGACCCCTTGCTGTACATTTTGGCACCTGAGCTGAAGCGATTTTTTTGACACCCGTGGCTCAATGAATCAAAATGTGGGCGATTTAACCAAGCACTTTATCAATGGCCATTTCAGGATCCTAAATTGGAGGTACCTACGATATATAAGGCCTATTTGTCAGGCCTATGTAAGGGGATATACCCCCAAAATATGGCCAGAAATATGGTACAGTACCTCCATTTTAGGATCCTGAAATTACCATTGACTTTATGGTGATTGTATGGTGACAAACTGGGGAAAAGCTTGGAGGTGTTCGAGATGGAAACCAAATGCTTGGAGACTTGGAGATTGATTTAACCATCAAAGATTAATATGGGCTTGCCTTGGTTGAACCCGCAACATATGGGGCTTGACCATCAAAAGTGAAGATAAACGGAGTTGCAATGTTGGGTAGTGTAATACTAACAGTCTTTTGCAATGTTGACGGGCACATTTGCCAACCGGTTTCACATGTCTTTTCTTTGGTATGGAAGATCGGCCGTGGAATACGGGAGCACATGAATGCCCATGAAAAATCTCACGTACTTCAGGAACTGTCCAAGACCGGTACAAGTACACGAATTCCAACACATAGCCGACAAAATGGGTTTATCATTGACAAACGTTAGGATCATGAGGTATTTCAGTTGGAGCTGCCATGCATGATATTGTCCAAGACTTGAATGATGGAAGCAAATTACAGGACACACCAGATGCTGAGTAGTTAAAGAAAACACATTATCTCTGTTTTTGCCGAGAAAGAACATATAGACACAGTATTTCTGGTAGATTTTGCCTAGACCCAATGATAATTAGTTTGCTTGGTGGTTTGATATACCATGTCATGGTGTGTTTCCCATCACTCTGATGATGATCCCCATTGTTTCGGAGGTTTCTTAAAATGGGAGGGGATCGCCGTCACCATGACTTGGATGACTAGGTTTGCTCATGTGGTCACCTTACCAATCTTACCATTTACCCAAAAAACGGGGTTTCCAGAAATGGAGATACCCCAATATCAATGGCCATTTCAGGAACCTAAATTGGAGGTACCTACCATATATAAGGCCTCTTTTGTCAGGCCTATGTAAGGGAATATCCCCATAAAATATGGTCTTATATGGTACAGTACCTCCATTTTAGGATCCTGAAACTCCCATTGATAATAGCTGGAACATCCCATTAAAAATGGATGATTTTGGATTATCATCACAGGAAACCTCCATATTTCAGGGTGGCTCAACCACCTACCCTCTGGTAAACTAACATAGCTATTGAATATGGCCATTTATAGTGGATTTACCCATACAAAATGGTGATTTCCCATGGTTATGTTAGTTTACCGGAGGGTAATCCACACATTTGGAGATCCAAAAACCGACCGATCGAGCCAGGTCTTTGGTGAGTCGCAAATCAACGATGCAGTGGCCATCACCCTGTTTGACTCTTGGCACCGGCTGCAGTGTGGTGTTATGAAGCCCAATTAGCTGGGATTAATAAGCCCCATACTTATGAAGGTTGGTCGTTTGGAACTTGATTTTTTTTCCATAATATTAATGGGGTGTCATTGAATCCCACTGACGAACTCATATTTTTCAAGATGGGTAAAACATGGTAAAACCACCAACCAATCATGAATATGAAGCTTAAGGCAGTTCTGGAATTCGAAGGGCTCCCAACTTTGTTGGTGGCTTGGAATTCACCAGCAAAGTTGTGGTGATAAAGACCACTCAGCTACTGAGATGGTACATGCTGGCTTCTCAGTTGTGAGCATCTGTTGGTGGCACATGCTATGACTCAATCTGGTTTTGGTGACCAAATTGCTAGGGTTTTCTGCATGTGGCTGTGTCTGAAAATAGGCTAAACCCCTTTTTACCCAATGGTTTTGCTGATCATTATCCCGTTTTGAAATGGCTATTTCATTGGGAATATTAACCCAACATTTTCAGACAAACCCATGTTTAGTTTCATGTAGATATGCATGATATTTCCACAAAGAATTCCCGGCAATACCCATGTTGTTGATGTTTTTTCCAACAAAAAATTGTGAATGGCTCAATGATGCTCAGCCAAGTTGTGGTCGCCTTTTCCTGGCCAGCCAACGGCCTTAACCCGTTTGGGAACCTGGTCATCCAAGGAGAGTATCAATGAGAACGTCCCTTGGACCGGGAGAGGTGAAAAACCTGGGTCGGCCGCCATGACACCGAAAAATGTGGGTGTTTATATCCCTCTAGGGGCGGGAAAAACCCAATGAATCTCAGACGCAGTGGGATGGTTTATTGCAGTGGCTTTACAACATGAAAAAAGGAATCCGCGACTAGTGGTGATTTGATCATCGCCAGCATTTTCAGTCGTGTTTCGATCATGTTTCAGTCTCCAAATCATGATTCATTGCACGGATGGCCCTGCATGTAGGAATCTATGGCCCCGCTCCTATCCTTGGAGATTTCTGTGGATGACCCCTGTCCAGCCAAAGAATTGTTGGGGATACCTTTAGGGCACTTAGATGTACACAATCTGTCACAATCGTATAGTGGTGCCCCCATGGTTGGCCAAGTTGGTTCTGATATATCCATAGTTAGTTACAGGATGGGGCCCCCCACTTATAAATTGGTTTATAAACCATTATAATCCCCATTAACTATAGTTATATCTACCATAAAGCCACTTATAAACCAACTTAGCTATCTTGGGGGCCCCATCCTGTAGATGGATCTGGATTTCAAAACTTTCTAAACCAACTTATAACTGGGGGGCAGCACATTGCCGAATCATTGACCTAAGGACACCGACAAGTCTTTGACGTTCCATGGCAGAAACTGCTGGGTGAAATGGGTGAGCATCCCGGATGAAGCCCATAGGTGTTCCAACCTAAAACCCTCTATACAAGAATAACATAGTCATGGAACTAATCACCAGTTTTTTATTCATTCAATGGCCATCTCAGGAACCGAGAAGAATTGGGGGTACCTACCATATATAAGGCCTATTTTGTCAGGTCTATGTAAGGGAATATCCCCACAAAATATGGCCTTATATGGTACAGTACCTCCATTTTAGGATCTTGAAATTCCCATTGATTCATGTTGAGGTAAATCAATAAAAATGAAATTATAAAAAGGATCATTTCCATAGCTATGATGACCAAAGGGTATAGGTAATTTTTCCAGCTGGAGATATGCGTGAAGCATCTACACACATCATTGGTCATGGCCTGTGCTGCCACGAGCTTGCAGGCTGTATGCTGTTTACGCCCTGGCAAATCATCTAACTAAACGGGCCACATGCCACACATGTTCCATAGCGATCTTAAACTACCAGAGGGTAAGCTTAGGTCAGTGGCAAAAGTCTGCCAGGAAAAAAAGGTCGCAGAGACCCACGCCAAGCCACGTAGTGTAGCATCATGTGGGGCTGAACGTCACTGTCAACTGGTGCTTCCGAACCCACAAACATATCATCATTGGAAAGTCACCAGCCAGTAGTCTGGCAACCAATTCAGTGACTACTTGTATCGTATCACCAATGATTTCAAGTCCAAGATCCATTCACAGAGTTAGTGACCAATTAGTTGGTACATATTCCCATGATATATCCCATGATATATCCCGATAGTTTCTAGATTTCCCACGATATATCCGATGATGTATCTCAAAAAGTAGCTTAGCATGTATGTATATGCATATATATATATATATATGTACAATAAATACATATATATATATGTATATATATATATGTATATATATATATATATGTATACATATATATATATATACAGTATATATATATATATACACCATGATGCCCCCAACCAAATTGTTGTCCACTGTTCCGAGAAAAAAATCGCCACCCATCAGACCTCTGAGGTTGGGCCGGATCACTGTAAAGATTTTTGTGCCTCTTGCCGTTAAGAAATTGAGCCATGAACAAAATGCCATGGTTAATAATCATTATTAATAGTGGTTAATAGTGGTTAATAATGGTTATAATAATGGTTAATGATGGTTAATGATTGTTAATGATGGTTAATGATGGTTAATGATGGTTATCAATGGGAGATCTTCAGGATCCTAAAATGGAGGTACGTTAGTACCATATTTCTGCCCATATTTTGGGGGGATATTCCCTGAAATTTAGGCCTGAAACATAGGCCAAAAATATATGGTAGGTACCTCCATTTTAGGATCCTGAAATTTCCATTGATTAATTGATTGCATTTAGGGGATTATACTACATATACTACCTGGTTTACTGGGGATTATGATAACCCTATAGTAGGGAACCTATCAGCCAACTAGTATTTCATGAGATGGGATAGGTTTTTGTTTTATTGCCTCAAATCGAGGCATTAAAATTCTCAACTGTTTCATTCACCATAAGTTGTGATTGGTTGTGAAATAGCGGAACTTAACCATTGAATATTTTTTGTTGATGTTGAACCACAAGAAATCGGCTTAGTGGGATGTTCATGGGATTTCAGCATCGGTTGCTATTTTTTTATGAGGTTTAAACAGTTCAGTCAGAATTGTCCATTATTATCCGTATATAATATATCATTGCGGGCGCCCACGAGGAACACTAATTGAAATCCGCCACTCGCCCCACTCGCCCCACTCGCCCTACTTGCCCTGGGCTAGCAAATTAATTGAAATCCGCCACTCGCCCCACTCGCCCCACTTGCCTTGGTAGGAAAATTAATTGACTTTGGCCACTCGCCCCACTCGCCCTACTCGACCCCACTCGCCCTACTCGCCCCACTCGCCCTACTCGCCCGACTCGCCCCACTCGCCCGACTCGCCCCACTCCCCCCCACTTGACGGGGGCAAGCGGGGCAAGCGGGGCAAGCGGGGCAAGCGGGGCAAGCGGGGCAAGCCGGGCAAGCGGGGCAAGCGGGGCAAGCGGGGCAAGCTGGGCAAGGGGGCAAGCGGGGCAAGCGGGCACGCGATATACACTGGCAGGCCTCATTTTGCGCAAATTGGAGCTCCCACCTGATAAACGAGAATAGTCAAAATTACTTTCCTCGAGTGGCCCCGGTCAACTGGCATTCTGGTTGACATATATATATATATTGAGATTCTATCGGGCATTCTGGCATTCTATCTGATATTCTATCTGGCATTCTGTCTGAGATTTCATCTGACATATTCCCTGACATTCTATCTGGCATTTTTTATGGGAGTCTATGTGGCATACATTCTGACATCCTATCTGGCATTCTTGCGGGTCTGTGTGTTTCCAGATGCATGTTTCCCAATGTGATTGAACTTGCAAACATTGGCTCTATCTGGTGGTGCCACTTGCCACTGTCAAGATTAGCGGCCCTTGGCTTACCTGTGCTCTCTGAGCCGGGCTGTCGATGGTATCTCGAGCATACAAAAGTACAATCACAAGGATGTATGTTATAACCCGTACTTGGTTAGGCAGTGGGCCGTATGGAAATATAGAGATTTGGTATAGTGGTTCGAACCAAGCCAGTAAGTAGCGACGCAAAGTGTGCTGGTGTATATAATGTCTTGAGCTGTGGATTGCAGATTCTGTTTGTGATTGGGACATCTTGAAGTCAACAGCGAGATGTCAGGAACTCATCTCCCGGCGACAGAAATTCATCATCTGTACCGTTACCACGACTGCCCTATTTGGAGTCTTTTTTTTGCAGTTTATCTTCACGCTCATGCCCGAGGCCGGGGTTGAATTTGGTGGAGTGATTGTGTCTTTGCGGGCAGGATTGGCATTCAGAGATAACGTGAACTTTAGAACCTTGATTTCGAATCTTGTTGCTTGTTTCAGATGTTTCCGAAAGATTTCGTTTTGAGTCATGTCAGCTTTAGACGCTGCGCACTTTTCGGCTCAAGAGAATCTCACAGAGTCGGGTCAGTGAAACTTGCTCATTCCTGAGAGCACGCATCCATCGCCGGACCAGCGCGCATCTTGTCAAGCTTTTGTGAAGTTGCCAACTTCTGGTAGTCGCTGGGCTACTGTGGAACTTTGCCAGCACTTGCTTCCACGGCCATGCATGGCTTGGGAATATACCTTTGATTAATCCTGGGGGCTTTAGCTGCTCCCCGATGATTTCAGATCAGCTGTCTCAAGGGCCAGGAAACGATTCAGCTTCGTTCGAAAAGCGCAGAAAAAGCCGGCTGGCTTGGTTGTGGTCTGTGTCATGCTGCATGCTGCCATTACTTCAAAACCACTCACCTGATTTTCGATTTTTTCCCAGTTTTCCAGGTTCGCAGACCGCGCTGCAGCTGTACTGCACCATGGTGTCCTTGTTTGCGTCAAACACCTTCTCATTATTTTCAATTGTTTTTCTCGATTTTCCTGGTTCGCAGTCCTTGCAGCAGCTGCGCTGCATCATGGTTTCCTTGTTTGCATCAAAATTGCCAGTGCCATGTTGACTGTGCCTATTTGCGACTGTCGCTCCCGTTGCGCTCAAGTTTGATCACCTGAGCTACTGTTGTCCACCTGTGCCGGGAAATTGACTTAAACAAATACATTCGCTGCATTGGCCGCCATGGAAACGCAAGACATAACTGCGGTACTGCCCAGTGGGAAACAGCAGACTGTCACGCTAGCAGTATCAGCCAAGGTTCAGGAACTCAAAGAGATTTTGCAGCGATGCTTCGATCAACAGTTCTTGGTCATCCTGGACGCGCGAGGTGCGGTGTTGCGGGTCGATGGTATGATTCCTTCGGCTGCAAGCGCACACTGCGTTACATGTGTCGCGCGTTTCCCTTGTCTCGCTTCAACCTGGAAAGCCTTTGCTCTGTGGTGTCACAATGACCGTGTAGTGACATGGGGGCATCCTGCCTACGGCTCCGACAGCTCTGGTGTGTGCAAGCGCCTGCGCAAAGTGGTGCAGATCGTTGCCAGCGGCCGCGCTTTTGCCGCGGTGACATCATACGGATCTGTTGTTACCTGGGGCTTGCCGAAGATGGTTGCTGACAATGCAATGGTACGGCAGCAGCTCTATGATGTGAGAAGCGTGACTGCAGCTGCCCAGGGCGAGACACAGGTGCCAAAACCCAAAGCTCATTGAGTTTCTTGTGCCCACTTGGAAAGTCACGCACAAGGAATTGAAGCTCATGGAAAAGAACTTGATTTCGAAAGGGGGGCGCAACGGGGTCCCACCTGCCCAGAAATGCTCTTGGTTCAAAGATGTTGTCCAGGATGGTGACGTGCACCCGCATCCAGGGCCATCAGGACGCAGCCAGCAGATGCAGTTCATGTCTATTAATGTTGGTGGGGCCTCCAACTGCTGGGCGGCGGCCCGATGGGCAACTAAACATCGCCCGCCTGTGGTGGTGGTACAAGAAGTTTGCATGAACACGGCTAAGCAAGCTGACTTGGCTGACTTTATGCTCCGAAATGGTTATAGATCTTGGTTTGCTTGCCCTCCGACCCACGGTGGGGTAGGAATTTTTGTAAGGTTTGATAATCTGCACACCTCCTCAGAACTCACACCCGTGCCGAAGGTCAAGCGGTCATGCTCCAGCTCGACCACGCCATCCTCATAGGTGCCTATTTAGCGCCTAACTCAGCGGCATGCGACATTGCTTCCACTTTGGATGAATGGGTTGGAGCAACTGGTGAACACACCCCTTTGGTTATTGTGGGTGACTTTAACGAGGAACCTTGTTTTGGGGAAAGGTGGAACCACATAAGCGGATTTGGCGGCACTTGTGCGGTTTGCAATCAGAATGATGTCCCACAGCCTACGCGGTGGTCTGGTACCCGGTGTATTGATTGGATTTGGGCTTCGCACTTGCTAACAATTGACAAGGTGCGATTTGAAGATGTTTGGTTTTCCGACCATAAGCCCGTTTGTTTTTCTCTGCAATATAGCCAAAGCCATGTTTGGTCCTTTAAGGCAGTTCAAACGAGGAAATGGACGGCGCCGCCAAATGTTTCTTTGCAAGAATGGAAAAATGCTTTAAAAACTCCGTGGTCGGAAGTCACGGTCCCTCCAGTTTCTAATACCAACCAAGAATGGAGTGATTTTTGTCACATTGCGGAGAGAGCACACCTCTCTGCCCTGGAAACCTGCGGGGCTACTGTTCCAAGGCCAAGCCGGAGTAGAAACAAAGGTTCAGAGTTTCAAGTTGAAGCAGCGAATGCTCGTACCTTTCGCATCGCCCAGCAAGCGACTTTCAAAGAACTCCGGCTGCGCAAGCTTTTGGGCCGTATTGCTGAAGCCCAAAACCAGCAAAGCCGTGGCCGCCAGCCACCGGCCATCCTGATCCGTCGTATCTTCTCTCATCCTTTTGTTGTCAGAGAAGGCTTGCAAAGCTTAGGTGAAGCCAGGGAATGGGCACAGCAAGAATTGCGTAGCCATGTCCAAAGCACTCAAACAGAGCAGCTCCAAGCTTGGCGCGAGCGTATGAGGTCCAGTTGCAAAGACGCAGGTCGGTGGGTCAAGAAATGCAACACATTGCCTGTCACTTCTGTTTACGATGGTTATAAACAAGGAAAAGCAACCTCTTCTGATCATGAATCCTTAAAGGCTGTTCTTTCTTTTTGGCAAAAAATTTGGGAACGGGACCGGCCCGACCCTGAAGAAGCAGTTGATTTCTGGAAACTTGGTGTTCCCCAACCTTCACCCCTAGCTTGGACCCCTCTCACTGCTGAGGAACTCTTCAGCCAAGCCTCTAGGCTGCGTGGCACAGCCGCCGGATGCGATGGGTGGTCAGGTGACGAAATTGCAGCCTGGCCCAAAGAAGCTTGGGTCATCCTGGTTGAGTTGTTGAACAGATGGTTCTCGAGAAGTGAGGTTCCCACGGTTTGGAAAAGTATTCGGCAAATTTTGCTCCAAAAACCAAACGCTAAGTTGCGTGACACGGATCACGCGTTGCCAGCCAAAGATTTGCGGCCAATTGCGATTCAGAGCGTCATCTGGCGCGCCATTGCCTCTGCGTGGACGCGCAGACCGCAGACGCGAGCTTGGGTCACGAGCTGGGTCCACTCCTCAGCCTGTGGCGGCATCCAGGGGAAAAGTGTTGCTCATGCCGTTGATCGGCTGCTTCAAGACTTTGAAAAGAGACAGGGCGGGGTCCTCCTTTCTTTAGATTTTTCTAAATGTTTCGACACCGTTGATCCCCGAATTGGAATTAAATGCCTTGAGTATCTAGGTTGCCCCAAGGAAATCCTCTTTGCTCTTACCTCAGTTTGGAGCCAGGAAAGGTGGTTGTGTTTCAGAAGAGATTGCCTGCCGCAGCCAGTGCAGGTCGACACTTCGATCCCTCAGGGAGACGCCATCAGCCCTTTGACTCTTCTTGCAGTCCTCACTGGCCTCACAGGCCGGGTGTTGCAAGCAAGGCCTGAACCACACACTTTGGCACCTTTTTGGATGACCGAAACATGGTGGCTAAAACGCCCGAGCTAGCGGCCCAGTTGTGGGACACCTGGAAACAGCTCTCACCGAAGGTGGGTTTGAAAGAGAACGAAGAAAAAATTCAAATCGTGGCTCGGCAAGCTGCCTTTAAGCCCAGATTGATTGCCGCGGGTTTCGACGAAACTCACATTGTGCAAGGTGCTAGAGTTCTAGGGGTTGATTTTACGGCACGGTTAGGAGCTGCGCACAAGCCTTCTCAAGATGCGAGGCTGCAAGATGCCCGCTTGAGGGTCGAAAGAATTGGACTTCTGCCTGTTACAGCCAGTCTTAAAGCTTTCTTGGTCAATTCTTTGGCAATTACAAAAGCTGCATGGGGGGCTTGGCTCAAACCCCTCTCTGCCAAACCTTTGTCCACTTGCATTCGAAAAACGACTGGTGGCAGCCATATTGCTGGCTCCCCCAATTTGTTTTACATGCTCTCAGGTCATAGGCTGAACTTAAATTTTGCTGCAGGTTTCGGAGCTTATATTCACTTGGCTCCTATTGTGCGTGAAAACCCACGGCGTTGGCCCAATGCTGCTACCAGAGGTACATGGCTCGGCACGGTCCGTAGCTGGCTCCAAAGTTTGAATTGGCACGAAGAGGCCGCATGGACATGGATTCACCCGGACATTCAATTCCGGCTTGATTGGACACAACCCATTGATGAAAACACCAAACAGAGAGAACACCATGCTTTGCGTGAAGCGTGGCGCAGACAACAGTTTCAACAGTTCTTGTCAAGTGGCCGTCGTGATGCCACTGCTGTACAAGGAAGTGTTTATCAAGAGGCCAGGGCCAAACTCACGCGCCAAACATACCAGTCTTCCAACACTCACTCACGTGCTTGCTTGATTGGTGCCGTTGTTTCAGATGCCCGTTTAGATAGGATTCGAGACCCCAACACCGCACCAGCTCCTTGCAAGTGGTGTGCGTCTGGCAATGTGCCAACATGGGATCACTTGGCCTGGGACTGCCCAGCCTTTGCTGCGACCCGAACGTCGCCCCCGCATGATCTTTTGCAGAGAGTGCTAGGTTGGCCAACAGGCCGGAATGAACAGGTTGATGCTGCGATCTTGACCCACTTGGGCTGTGTCCGAGAGCGTGTGTTTGGATCGAAGATATCGCAGCAACTAAGGTTCTTGAATTTCTTGGGTCGCAGTGTCTACTTGGCCTGCTGCCTTCCAACTATGATTACATTTGCCGCCCTTCGTCATGATGGGTCTGTCGTCACCTGGGGTGATCCGTCGTGTGGCGGAGATAGGGCAAACTGAAGGGAGTGACGCAGATTCACTGCACGCATACTGCATTCGCTGCCATTGTGTTGGATGGGTCCGTGGTTGCTTGGGGAGACCCTATAGTAATGGAGGAGACAGCTCGATGGTCCAAGACCGACTTCAAGGCATTGTGAATGTTCAGGGCCTTATGCATTTGCAGCTGTCACGGAGGAAGGGTCGCTTGTCACCTGGGGAAAGGCCACCTTGCGAGGCGATAGTTCTGTGATACGAGAAAGTCCGGCAAGTCACACCCTCTTTGAAAGGGTTCTTTGCCAATGCTGACGGATGTCAAGTTACATGGGTCTGCCAAAGCGTTTGCAGCAGTGCGCTACAATGGATCCATTGTTACATGGGGAGCGCAGGACGGAGGCGGGGACAGCTCCGCAGTGCAATCTGCGTTTGCCACTTTCTAGTTGCAGTGGCCATTAATGTTGCTACTGCAGCTGCGGCAAAATTAGACATCTTCACAAACTTGGACATATGGTATAGACAAACAGGTCTGCGGCACAGCCTGCTATGGTGTAAAAATTTGCGATGGGAAGCTGGGCGCAATGGTAATCTAGTGGTCGAAATAGTCGGGACATCCTCCCAATTCCTCAGATGCACTGTCTGCTGCAGCTGCCCTGCATGCTCAGAGAACCTCATGCTTTTTAACTACAGTGTGGTGTAGCATTTGCTTGTCTGCGCCTATCTTCATCCGTTGGGCTCAAATTTAGGCACGTATTGTCAACCTGTGCTCTCCGAGCCGGGCGATTGACGTAGACATCGTGACATTGAGCTGATATGTAGATGTACGTGTTCATGCTGTCAACAAGATCATCATTGTTATTTACAACCTTGTAGCTCTGCTTTGAAGCCGTGGCCGACGAAGCACAAGCGACTCGGCGAGCCTTCACCATTCAGGGGCCGCAGGTTGCCTTAGCTATGCTGCGAGGTTCCAAACGTATAGAATCTCGGAAGAGGCGGATGGCATCTGACTGGTACTATTTTCACGTTGGCCGTTAGTCAATCAACAGCTTGCCCCCCGAATGTTCGGCCGCCCTGCGCCAGACATGGCCGGATGCGCCAGAGGAAGCTTCTTTGTCCAAAAGTTGCGTGGTTGGGATGGTGTGCCTAGGGAAGGTGATTCACAAAAGCCGAAGTTGGCAAAAGCACCAGCATCAGAAGCCTTGCAGGCCAGCACAAGCCCGCAGAGGGGACCTGACCGTTGCAGTCTTGCCCAACGGCTGGCAGCAGGAAGGACGTTGGAGCTGCTGACAACACTGATGGTAGTGCATTTCCTGAAGATCTGTGCTGCCAAAGTCACACAGTTGCAGCCCAGAGGAGGTCTCTTTGCTTTCCGGGACGATCAGCCGGTGTTCATTCTGAGTGTATGGACAAGCAGAAAAATTACTTTGGCTGATGTGGTTCCATTGAAGCAGGCAACTTTTCAAGGACGAACCGTCCTCAAAGCCAAATACACAGAGACCCGCACATGCAGATGGAGTGAGCTCAAAGATGTTGGCTTACATTTCCAGGTTGCCAACTGTGCGAATGATCGCCGTGGAGCGAGTGGCTTGGCCTCGATGATTTTTTGTAACATGTTGCCATCCTTTAAAGAGAGACCCGCAACAGATTGTTTTTATGTAGCCTTGCATGCCTAGGCTTGCTGTTCCAGAAGCAACCGGGGGAAACACAAGGAGATCAAGGCAGAGCTTTGCGCGAGAATGCAGCTTTGGCAGCTCTCTGGCAGGCTGGCAATGCAGAGCTAGGTTTGGCCACTTCATGCACAGTTGATCACTCGGTGCGATCCGTTCTGCCACGTTTGCAGGCGCACCTGGCCGAACGAGCTGCTTCAGGTATTACCCATCACGCGGCCCCACGCGCAGATGAGAGCCGTTCCTTTTGGATTCTGGACCTGCCATTGCCAGTGCAAGTGGATGGTCGCCGCCATCGCTGCCATACGTGCGCGCACTTGCGCATCTTCGACAACTGCACCGTGGAGACACATGATGTTGTTGCAGCCTATCCTGACCTGCCCTGCTGGTGCACTACGTGAAGAAGCAAGCCCCTGTTTTGCTGACACGGCGATTCCTGCTCCATTTGGTGCAGCTGTTCTGCGACCGCCTCAACTCTAGGGCAACGAGGCGGGCTTTGGTGGAGCAAATCTGTGGCAATGCTCTTTCCCTCAATGTAGCTGGGCGCATGAAAGAATTTTGCAGTGCAGTGCCCAAATCTGTATCCATCCGCTCCATTCTCATGGCAGCATTGGAAGATTACACCAAGGCAGCTTCACGCGAGATGCAGCGGCTCATCAATGTGTACAGTGGTTCAGCGATCAGAGGAGATGGAAACCAGGATGTAGCAAAAAGGATTACAATGTATGATGAAGCAAGTCAGAAAACACACCCATATACGGTGCTCCTAGCTTGGGTCACGGTAGACGGGGCCTTGTTTCAGCCTGTAACAGCAGCTGAAACAGAAGACTGGGTCGACTTGCAACCTGATCTGGATGCTGTGGTAACCAACCTGAAACAGGACAGGCTGGCATCAGGCCTGTCCTTAGCTGAGGCAGCCCCAGTAGCTCACGCCACGGACAGTTTCAGAAAGCAGCGATTGCTGCTTGATGCATTTTACAAAAACAAGTACCCCAAGGAGCAAGAGGTGGAGGCGTGTCTCCAACCATCGTATGCGGAGATCCGCTGCATGACCAGTTGGCGCTACAGCGCAAGGTAAGTGCAGCGAGTCCAGATGCCCCATGCCTCATTGCTGATCACAAAGACATCCTGCAGCGGTTGTCCTTGAAACCAAGGGTGGCAGAAGATGTTCCACCTGTGCTCTCTGAGCCAGGTCTTTTCCTTGAGCTTGAAGAGGCCATCATCCTCTATTGAAGTCGGTGGTTGAAGATCTACAGGACCGTATTGCTGCAGCACAGGTGATAAGAAATCGCTTCTTTCTTGCTTTGTTCTTGCTTGGACAGATTTGGACAGATCGGACAAGTTTGTGAAGCACGGCAGAGAAATATTGATCTGCTATGATCTGCTCGTCGGTTCCCCATACCGGATGTCCACTGCTGCACTGCATGATCTGACTGTTGCCAGCTATTCGCCTATATGTGCCTCTGTTGCCTTTGTTTTGGTTGAAAACTCGGGTCGACTGAATTAGTTCTGTCTACCTGTGTTCTCGGAGCCGGGCAATGTCAGGACAGTATATCATTGAGTCATTGAACCTATTAATGCAACACAATCACACACACACACAAGCAGCATCAGAGTCACCCTTTTAAAGCCTCTAGCCCTATGTTAATGGCAACGCAGCGCCCTTTCTGCTGACGCCGCAAGATGCTTCCCCCCGGTGATGCTGGGTATGGAATTTGGCCTGGCAATTTTTATTGTGGTGTGCGATCCATGGCTCCGTTTGGTGCGTGGCTCCCTTGGCAGGAGGGTGTGACCTTAGCTGCAGCCTTTGGCTTCACAGAGAATGTATGCTTTGAATGTGCTGACACCTGGTTGCAGCTGGATGCTCTGGAATTTGACCCTCCAAGGCGGTCTGGAGATGGCAGCGGCCGGGCAGATGTGCCGCGGATTCGCTTGCTCTACAAGCCTGATTTACACGGAGATGATGGGCTCGTTATAGTTTCCTCTGACGAGGAGGATGTCATCTCCCCGCAGCATGCTCCACCAGACGTATGTACATAGACGCTGGCGTTCAGGTGCATTAGAGCCCCATTGCGGGTGTTGAAGTTGACCTTGCATTGCCGCGGGCGCTGGATGAGCAAAATGTTCGTCTCTTGCTTGTCTACTGGCACCTGTACAGTCAAGTTGATCAAGAACGTCCGCCTAAAAATTTGCCGCCAGACATTCCGCTATGGGCTTGGGAGTTGTTTTCAAAACCAAGATTTCATTGGACTGAGGCTCGGGTTCAAGCGTTGCAAGAATCTTGTTTGCAGACGCTGCAGGCCGCAGACCACAAATTATCCGTACCTGATTAGCGCCGCGCTGGCTTCGTCCACTGCGACCTGTGGGTCTCAATGGCATGGACGATATTGTGCTCTCAATCGCAAGAAACTTCCAGAAAGCAGTCCTTTTGTACACTAGGCCAAGCAGTTTTTGATAATGTCGCGAGGTTAAAAAATTCGCTGCGCGCTACAGAAGTGTTGAAACTGAGAGATGTGGAGGGCATGTGAACATTTTCACATTGTTCCGGCTGTCCACGCAGCGCAGCATGAGAGCCAGTTTGGTTGCATGGAGTCGATATCACGCTTGGGACTGCAAAGGCAAATCCGACAAATATGACCATGATACCACGCATTGACAAGTGCTCTCCGGTACCCAAGCCGCGCCATCAAGTTCAAGTTGTAGGAGTTAGCTTCCTAGACATGGCCACGTGTGAAGTTTGTGGAGATGGTTTCGCAGACGATGCGGAAAAACACTTGTGCTCCCCGAGCCGAGACTCTTGCTCGCACGTGTGCCACGCGGATTGCTTGCAGCAATACCGATTAAAGCAGGGCTGCCCTATGCATGACTGCCCATTCTGTCTTCAGAATGAAGATTCCCAGGAAGAGGCTGATGATGCCGCTTTGCAAGAGATGGAGATTGAGGCAGCAATGGAAGCAGAGGCTGTGGCTGAGGGGGTAAAAAGAAAGACCAGAGGACAACGCAGCCCAGTGCCGCCCACCCAAAGGTCCCCAAGCCCAGAAAGCCCTCCCTTCACACAGGGTGGAAGTGAAGCAGCCCGCTTGTCCATTCCAAGCTTTGGGATTGACATCTACGGACCTGAGTCGGACCAGCAAGGCATCTACCACGGTGAAGGATCCTATGCACGACGCCATGTCGGAGTACTTGGCTTGCAGGGATGAAGCACAAAGCCTTTCGTTGCTTCACACCAAGAGCACATATCAAGGGCTTGGAAGCCCAGAGGCTTCTTATCAAACCGTTCTGAATGCAGCCTTGAAAGACCCCAGGGACCACCACGCTGTGGCATCAGACTTTGCCTTCAGAACTCGAGAAGTGCTGCCCGTGCCTTTCGAAGTCAGCTTGAAAACCATTGCCCGCAAGGAAGGTTGGGAGCCTGAGACATTCATGGCGCCTATCCTCAGCAACATTGGTTGGATGGAGCATCCATGCAGGCACGCGGCTTCGATTGCAGCCTGATGAGGAGCACCGACGTGGCTGCGTAGTCTAGATTGTTTGCGCAGGTGACCCCAGCATGCGCAAGAGTTCTTTGAAGGATTTTACCAGCAAAAAGCTTCTTTCCCATGCAGATGTCCCTGCTGTCATCAAGGCAGGTGGCGCCACATGCACGGATGCCACCATCAAGGGTATTCGTGCTTCTATCAAAGAATATGCCCGAGCTGGCATCATTTCGGATGAGATTGCCACAACAATATGCCGTGACATCCGGGAGGGAGACCCGACACTCAGGTCTGCATTACGGCAACAAAGAAAAGATGTGCACTTGGCTGAACTGCGAAGATGACAAGACAGTCACTGGAGATGGTGCCACGGCGCTGAGTCATTACACCCAAGTGTATGGACTGGTGTCGCTTTGTGAGTATGTGCTCCAGCCGACTGCAAGCATGTTTTCCAAGAGAATCCATGCGACGTGGCAAACAAGGCCAGTGACAAGTGACCCTGATCAGCAGAGCCAGTCCAGCAAAGAGTTCCTGATTGACTTCTTTGGTTGGATGGGGCGCGTGGCAAGCAACCAGGACAAAGACCACTATTTTGACAAGTTCGCCTTGCCCGTGCTCAGGAAGGCTTTGCAGGGAATCTCCGACTTCTTTCACGAGAATCACGAGAATGTAGAAGAACCAATCTAACAGAAGCTACGCTATGCTGACACAGATGTGGCTTGGTACGCTAATGCAGCCATGCGTTGCAGGCAGTATTCTGAGGCCCGCTGCGCGTTGGCCCTTGATAGGATCATAGATGAGTTTGCCGTTGAGATGACCGTCTTCGATTTGTGACATGCCTTGCATATCTGGCGTCGCCAAATGTGCTTGTGGTTTGCCTTCTATCGCTCCAAGCAAGTCCAAGCCTTGGTAGGCCCCAAAGCCGTGCCAGATGTCAAGACCCCAGGACTTGCAGATTTGGATGCCAAGATGAAATTGCAGCGAGTTCATTCTGTCCAATCCTCGATGTGCTGGTCCAACCTCCACTGCGCACATTCGCTCTGTTCTGAAGTACCACTTTCAGAAGGAGAAAGAGGAAAAACCAGCAAAGTACGTCTTGGCAGCAGTCAAAGACCTCTTGAAAGTTGGCATCTTGCAAGAGGTTGACAAGAAGGAAGTGGAAGAACAGGCGCCCAAACTTAAGGACAAGAAAAGCGCCAAGAGCAAGGAGGCCACGCTAAAGAGCGAGCCACGAGGCCCGCCAGGTGGCCACGCTGTCCTGTACTACCAGACATGTGCCTGGGAAGACCTTTTGACTAATTCGGAAGCTCAAGACATGATTGCCAAGCTGCAACTGAGTGCCAATGATTTCAAGTAGGATTCCAGAAATACGAGGTCTTGCACGGTCCCATGTCTAAACTGTCAGCCCAAAAAAGAGTGACAATGTGCTCCAAAGCACTTGTTGTATATAAGTCTTGTTTCCAAAGATACGCGTCAATAATGGTGCGATTCCCCGAGCGTGTTCCTGACCCTACGAGGTGAATGCTTTCAATCAAGACGGTATGGTGGCTGCAACATATTGTGCGTCAATTTCAATCAACCCACCCATTTTCATGACAAGACATTGTGGTGTGAAGATCTTACATAGTGGTTCATCATCGTGTCCAAAGCCGCATTCAAAACAGTCTGCTTGGCCTTCTAGTGTTCAATCGTGTGCGCTGGTGGCATGAGATTGACAAAGGCCCAATCTACTCTTTTTGGGGCAAAGCGGACAGCCAACACCGCGGCTCCAAAATAGTTTGTGCGGCGCATGTGAAGCCACTGTTCGCTGAACATAGCCGTTCGAGATGTTGAAGCAAGACACATGTTTTATTTTTCCTGATCAAGTCCAAGAAAGAATTGAAACTTGCACCTGTTTATTCTGTTTTCTACCATTTCTGTTTTCTACCATCCTTTCCGACTGCGATATAATTTTTCTGCTGCATGGGGGAATTAAAGAAGACTCACGGGAGTCCTGTCCACACCGATCATGTCGCTGACTCCTGCGTCTGCAGGTGCCGATGCTAAGTGGCACCAGGACAATGGCTTCTACCTTAGGGATTCAGCAGATGCTGATGCCAGCATGCGTGATGTTGGTGCGCAATCAAATAGAGATGGCACAATAGTCCACTCCTCACTGTGACCATCGGGTCTGTGGTCCCGCGGGGCACGTGCACTGCGCGTCGGTGCGCATTGCCGGAATGGCTGGAGGTTGCTTCCGGTGATGCTTGATGCTTAATATCTTAATGTCACATTGGTGTCATGTAATGTTCAACGCAATTTTTCTAGGACATGTTTAAACATAGTCGATCTTTGTTTGGTCTCATACAGACCTTGTACAAAAGGATCTTGCACAGCAGCGCCTAGAAAGAACCTGTCAAGGAGATCTTGCACACGTCTTCTACAAAGGGAACTTGCAGAATCCAATCTGGTATTGTTGCAACGGTGTTTGGAGTCGCCACTTAATCCCCGTCGGCCGCTCCACTCGCCCCACTCGCCCCACTCGCCCCACTCGCCCCCCTCGCTCCACTCGCCCCACTCGCCTCACTCGCCCCACTCGCCCCACTCGCCCCACTCGCCCCACTCGCCCCACTCGCCCCACTCGCCCCACTCGCCCCACTCGCCCCACTCGCCCCACACGCCCCACTCGCCCAAACATTCCATTCACGTTACCACCTCTATTCCTTTTTCATACTGCTGTGTGGTGAAACCAAAGCAAGCAGGGCAAGCGGGGCAAGCGGGGCAAGCGGGGCAAGCGGGGCAAGCGGGGCAAGCGGGAAGAACCACCGATCTTCCCTCGGTTTGCAAGTAGGGCAAGCGGGGCAAGCGGGGCAAGCGGGGCAAGGAGGAAGATTCACTTATTTTCCCTAGAAGCGGAGCAAGCGGGGCAAGCGGGGCAAGCGGCAGAAATCACTTAGCGGCCCCGCGGGGCACCCACACTGAAACATCACTCCCTGCAAAAGCACTTGGTAGATGTGGCAGGTGAGAGACGCACTCCGCAGAGCTCTGCGGATGGGGGTTGTGGCCTGAGTTGAAGGAACAATGCTGGCGGACATGCACTAGCGTAAAGGCGTAAAGTAATGAAAATATCAAGAGTTTAGCTGTTTCCTTCTGTCCCGTCAAGGAATGGGACTCCTTCACGTGCATCTTCCAGCAATTTCTGCATCAGGCCAGGTACAGCATTTGAAGAATCCCCGACAGAACCAACTTCTCGTGACCCAAGAATCCATCCCAACAAGTGGTGCCCTTTTTTGCGGGTGCAAGGTGAATGTTTGTCGCGATGATTGGTAATTTGGACGCTTCGGCAAAGGACTCCATGGTTGAAGGATGCGGAAAATTGGTAAAACACGGTAAAGAAATGTAAAGAAAAGCTCCAAATGCTCCAATTTTTTTGGAATTTTGAACTAAGTGACTAAGTATACTCGCTGTGGACACGGCTAGGGCTTAGCCCTAGCCTTGGTCTTCCTCAAGTCCTGTAGCCTCAGGAGCTCAATGCGATCCCGCGCCTGGTCAGGCAGCACCCACATGGTTTCTGGTGTGCGAGCACTTGCAGGTTGGGACATGTTTGGAAATGTCTGGAATCAGATTTAGTTTAGTTCATGATATTTTCAGATGAATTGGATTCTGCCGAGCTGGCTTCTCCATACATATTCAACCTACAGGCTGCCTGTGTGGGTTGAATGGCTTCTGGCTTCACCTGCTGTTTGGCTGGTTGTGGATGTTGTGGTTATGGAAGGCCATACGCTCAAAATCCTTGACACTTAACATTTTGCATATTCTTCGATGTTATTCAGTTTTAAGGCTAGGCGCCATGTTTCTCTTTGTTTGTGTGCCAGGCATGTCCTTCTGGGGTCACTCCGAAAAGCTGGAGATCTTCACCGTTGCACGTTGGGACCGGGCAGCCTGGAGGTTGAAACGCTGGAATGCGAATATGCTGTCGATTCATTTCGGCGCAGCTGCCTCGCTGAGGTCCTGGCACTAGTGGAAGACAATAGAAAGAATGGAACTTCTCAGATCGCAGGAAAGGAAGGTTTGAAGACACTCTTGGGGACTGATCCAAACGCTTCTGATGCTTGCGAGGACTTGCCCTGCAACTGCGGTCTTGGGGAGGAGTGCATCAAGACGAAGGAGCCTCTCGGCAGGGAGTCGCATACTGGTAGCACGGAATAGCCATGAGGATAACATTGTTATACATTGTTAACATTATTAGAACCTTGCAGTTCTTTTTTGCCCACTGTAAGCCACTGAATTGTCCAGGATTTTGAATCGACGATGGCATGCCTTCTCAACTTAGGTCTTCCGGAGATGGAGTGTCACCCCCAGCAGCTCAGGTTGGAATGCAACTTCAATGGATCCAAAATGGCATCGACTGGATGATGATCATCCCGAATCATCCCGAATCATGAAGGATGGATGATGGATGGATGGTTGAGGCTTGAGATCTCCAACTCGAAAACTTGAGGAAAACTTGATGGGACACTGGCTGCGCCTGGAAGCCAAGGGGGTAAGCTGAGGGGTGGTCGGTGAGTTGACGGTGATGAAACAGGGAGAACAAAACTGAAAGGACACAAATGATTCTACTGTGAGGGTGCATTTCAAAGTGGGAAGCAGAAAGAGTAGAAGGCGGAGGAACATTGATTCTGTGCGAGATGGATGATGGTTTTGCCAAAAAAAGAAAGACTAAGCCTAAGCATACCATTTCGCACAAAGGCACGGACTGCTGATGCACAGATTTGAGAGTGATTCCACAAGCAGCCTTTGGCTTTGGCAGTGGCATGTGGCTAAGGCATAGAGAAAGACAGATCACGGGACAGCATTGTGGCACATCATTCCCAACCATTCCCAGCCCTGATGAACACTTGCACTGCAGACAAGCAGAAGATAGCAGAAGATAGCAGAAGATAGCAGAAGATAGCAGAAGATAGCAGAAGATAGCAGAAGATAGCAGAAGATAGCACAAGCTCCCTTGTTTTGGGATGTTTTCCGACTCATCGCCTCCCTCGCCGGATGGGCCAGGCAAGCTGATTCTGTCTTGGTATGCCTTGGTGATTTGTGGCGTTTCCATTTCTGTTTGAAACCCTATGGTTGAGCTTCGCTTTAGGCCGTGGCCACTACAGTCCAAGATTTTCCAAGGGCTTTGTAGCCCAGAAATTGCTGTCTGATTCGCACTTCCAAGCAAGAACAAGGCATGTAAACGATAGCAAGTCGCATCATGTTTTGAAGGAGGTCTCCTGCAACAGTGACACCAAGCAATGATCCTTCTCAAAGTTTTTTCATGTTTTTTGTTTGTGCACCTGACCTGCCTGATACTTATGCAACACCAACAAATATGCGCACCCTCTTATGGAAGTTGCCTTTGTAGGAGTCAGCTTGAGACCAGCCCAAGCGCAGACATAGCTGCAGTCTCTGCACAAATCTTCCTTTTTTCATAGGTGTAACGGTTGCCCATCGGTTGTCATGGCGCGATCGCCTGCGGGTGCAACCTTCCTGGGTCCTGCTGTGCTGGCAGTGGCCTGTTTCTATGGTGAAGCCCATGGATCAGTGAAGCAAATCGGCAGTTTCTGCCTGGGTTTGTCTCTGGTCTTAGCTCTGATATGGGTCTACTCTTTCTGGGCCCTGCATGTGGCCCGGCCCTTGGCACCTGTGAAGAAGCAGATCAGCGCCAGCAGTCGGAAGGTGTCCTTGGAATGGTCGGCCTCTGATGATTTCGAAGACTTCGCCCCGCTGCTGGCGTTGAAACAGCTCGACTTCACAGGTGAAAATATCACAGGCGCACTGGTCCAGGAACTGCGACTGGATCTTGAAGCCACCCTTCAAGCTGGAAGCCACGAATCTCAGATTTGCTGACAATCCCCATCCCCAAAGATCCCCAAAGACCCCAAAGCATATTTCCTTTCGATTCCTGTGGTATTCTGCTGGTGAGCTTGCTCAGAATCAAAAATTCTTGTGGTGGTTGGGGGATCCATCAATATCCATCAGCCCAATGACAGTGGCACTGCAAGAGCTGAGGAGCTGAAGATTTCGGAGAGAACTGGGCTTCAGCTCAATGTCACTGACAAGATGGCCAAACAGAAGTGCAAACTCCTCTTAGAAGCGAAACCTCCGTCGCCTCAACACGAGGCCCGGGTCTTTCATGATTGGACATGGCTGTATGATATGGCTGGTGGACCCTGGCCGCCTTGATTTGTTTGGATAAAGCCCAAGAGAAAAAAACGACATCAAGACAGTTCTGTCGATTCTTTACCAATCTTCCAGGCAGATGGATAGCAGGATGCCTCCAACATCCAGCAGTTCCAACAACCATTGGTTGCCCTTCCCCGGCTGTGGTCAGGCTGTGGCATCTTCCCTTCTTTTTCACCTGCCGGGGATTCAGCTTCGAGGAGTGGCGGGCGCATTGGATGGACTCTGGGAGCTTTGGGCCAACCAAGGTGCCATCATAGTGGGGACCGGAGATAGCACCAGGTTTCTAGGACGCTCCGAATCTGCAAAGTTCCGTGGAATCTCCAAGTGAACCAATTCCACTGCTCCTGAAACAAACAGGAGCTTGTACGCTTCCTGGATCATTGTTGGACAACGGATGGGTTTCCATTGGTCTTCCCTTCACCAGCGCCTGAGGTGCACCCACTGCTTCCAGCTCCATGGGCTCATGCCTGCGGTGGATTGCGGTGCTCCTGCTGCAGTTGCTGGAAGTAGCTCTGCCCATCTCACTGCCCCTGGGATCCATGTTTTATTAATATGTTTTCAGATTTTCCAGAACATTCCAGAACTGTTTTCATCACTTTTTCAAATCTAAAGTTTGTTCATGTTTGTTCCACTCTTTTCGGCCGCTTGGTGTCTTGGTCCTGGCGTTTTTGTGTACAGCTTCCAGTCAGATTTAGAAGATCAGCCTCTTCCCTCAGGCACACCGTGGAAGGTGCAGCAGTTGGCCAGGAGTTCTTGTTATTCTTTACCGGTGCAGTTGGCTTTATCCCTTTCGAACGAGTTCATTTGCCAGCCTTTGTCCTTCCGCGACTTCATGCTCCACTGTCAGGGCTGTTATCTGCCAACCCGCTGGTGGGGCAACGGATTCGCAAGTCTGCCAGCCCTCCAGTAGCGCATCCAGGCAGGTTCAGAGGTTCAGTGACCCAGCAACACAGCTTTCGTTGGTGATTTTCAATCGGATTAAGGGGGAACTGGATGGAACTGGACCCCGATGAAGATGATGAAGTGGAGTCAAATCAATTTCAAGTTCTCACGCCACCTCTTGGGCTCTCAAATCAAACTTTGGAGGCCTCTTGGCTGCTTGGAAGTTTTCTGCCGATGTGAGCATCCTCCCGTTTGGTTTGGATGTGATGCTGCGTATGCGCGATGGTTCCATCTCAGCTTTTCAAGGTATGCTACTGTCGGAGGACAGCTTACGTGCCAGGTGCGAAAGTTCAGGGTCATTGGACAAAGACAAGCTTAAGATTGAGGCGGGAGCGGCGGCCAAAAAAGTCACAGGTCGCAGTTCCACACAGAAGTTGTGGAACTTTGGCTGAGAAGGCTTGGAATGGGCCGTGACATGCCGTGACATTCACGGCTTCTGACGCACCAACTCTATTGAAATTGATTACTTTACTTTAGTCCATTTAGTCTGCATGTCAGGTTTTTGACCCTGCCTAGGTGGACTCCTTCTCTGTGACTTCTGCAGGAGCCGGAGATGGAAGGGATAAGGGCATTGGCGGATCTGCCAGCATTGAAGTTGGCCTTGGTATTGGAATGTTCTTCACACAGAAGTCTCCCAAAGTCTCCCTGCCCGATCTTTTCTTCTCTGCTGCCTCTGGTCATGCGCTTCGCCCTGGGTCCCTGGATTTCCGCTGCAAGGTGGGATTGCGTCAGACTTCAAACAGTATTGAAAGATATTGACAGATACTGACATACTGACATTCAACACATTTAAGCAGCTTATTTAAGCATGCAACATTCTGGTGCCTCGCATTACATAAATTACGTGTTTCAAGATGAGAATAGTTGAGACGTGGTCACGACGTGGTCGGCCTCGCCAGGTGAACTTGGCTCAGAACAGTGAGCTGCCTGAGCCTTTGCGTGTGACCTTCCGGGACGAACACCCGTTGATGCTGGGCAGTGCCAATGTGGCGGCACGTTTGCAGCGCCTGGCCTTGAAAGGCAGCCTGTCACTGCAGCAGACTTTGCCCATGCAGCGGAAGAGAGACCTCCTGCAGCTACCGCAGACCAATTTGAGTTTCGAGACCTCCTTGGAATTAGAAGAGGAGAGCTCTAAGACTCTAAGACCTCATTGTGGAAGTACAAGCGCATGATTTGATCCAGTTATCACGAAACTTGTGGAAATCACTCATGTTTTGTGTCAGTCTAAGGGTTCGTGTTTCCTCAGTTGTGGCCTTTTCGCAGGAGACTTCTTTCATGGACGATGGCTTTTCAACGATCCGTTTTCAAGGTGTGCAATGTAGTGCAGAGGGTCGGCTATGGTCTGAAGGGCAAGAATCCCGGCGCAGAGAATTCAGCAGTTTCAAAGTTGAAGGAGTTTGGAGCAGGAATGCTTTCGTTCATAAAGCAATCTTTTCAGGTGACAAAATACCCATCATGCAACACAATCAGTTTCTTGGACTTTAGTGGGGTCTTTTTTGAATTCGAAGGAATGGCAAGCCACAGTGTCAAAGTACAGGTTGTACATCCTCACAAATATATTCATATCATATTCATATCTATTATATAAATATATTATTCATACCACTCGGAAATGTCTGAGACATGGCGAGACATGGCGCTACCGGCTCTACCAAGTGTCTTTCACCAATTTTCACCACACGTCTCCGAGGAATGCCTCATGGCCAAAGCCTTGGTCCAGGCCTCTGGTTTCATCGCCGCACAGTTTCGGGCAGCATCGCTGGTGCAAGCTTTGATCGAAGCTGAAACGGCAGCCGCGCGACTCAGTGGATCGTCCCCCAACAAAGGCCAGTCGGAGAGCACTGGAGATGAGGAGACTGCCGCGGTGCATGTTACAATGTTGCGACCATCAAACACAACAAACACAATAATTCAATACCATGGATGAATGCGAGAGAGAGAGAGAGAGAGAGAATGGAGATGAAAGAACCGGACCTCTGGTCCTCATTAGTTCTTCACTGCACGCAGGCTCACACTCTCTAGGTACCCACCTATCCTGCAGGAAGGACAGTACACCTCCGTGCGTGTTGGCGACGTTTTGCAGGTGAGCACTGCTGGGGGCGGACCTCAAACTTATTTGGACGACCATCCTTTGTGTTGCTTAAAGCGAATTGAACCGCTACTTTGGGGAACCGTCACGAAAGTGCATCACACCTGCGGAAAACAGGCAAAATCCTGGTATACGAGATAGTTACATGGTAGTGGTTTGTAAGGACAGTGATGAAATGCGGCGAAAATGGAACATAAAGGAACATGTTTTTGTGTTGACATGTGTTGACAGATGGCGATCGATAGAGAGAGAGAGAGAGGAACACGTTCTCAAATTGCTGTACAATAAATAACAATAAATAACATGTACAATAGATAAAACATATTAAAACATCAATCTTTCAGAAGGGAACGCATCTTGGGGTAGTTTGGAGCTGTGGCGTGAAGGTGGATGTGGGTGGCTCGGCGAAAGTCATTGGCCATGCACAGCTCCGGTTGAACCCCACGGAGCCAAAGGAGCCCGTGCTCGAGAGGAGCTTAAGTCCAGTGTCGCGGGGACGAGTGGAGGCTGGGGACCGATGGGAGATGATGCAATCCATGGCATGGATGCTGGGATGGGAGGCTTGCGGCTTGCCCATGACATCCCATAACATATATAACACATATATAACACATATAACGCTTTCACATCTTTCACCATCATCGATCCATATCTATCCGACTAGCCAGTTAAAAGAGAACACAGGGATTCTCTTACATTGTACGTCCTAAGTTATGTGTGTACAGGATGTCGAGATGCGTTTTGGAATCTGCGAGTTACAGTTTCCACAAGAAGGAAGGACCGAAGGAGAGAGGGTGAGCTAATCAGCGGATGGCAGGCTGAAAAGCTGACGGTGGCAGACATTGCTGACGACGATGGTTGCGAAAGCATCGAGGGCGAGGATCGCATGCCACTGCTGCGTGTGTCTATTGCTGGGTCAGAAGCGAGCATTGAGATGGGCGAGTGCCGGGCGCAGGTTGGGTCGGGCCAAATACTCTGTGCGGATGGATTACACAATCTGATTTTACTATGCGTATCTATGCGTATCTATGCGTTTGTTGCATTGTGGGGGTGAATGAGTGCGCAAAAAGCACAGTCCATCACATTTCAACACGCAAGTTTTTATGACAAGCAGGGTTGGCTGGGTTTCATCCTCATTTCAGTTCATTTCATTGTTTGCGCATGTTTGCGCAACTTTGCGCATGTTGCAGCCTTTTATGGTGAACACGTGATGGTGCACCTCCCCTGCTCCAGGTTGGTGATTTGGCCTTGACTATTCCAAAGGCACAGATGAAGGTAGATGCGATTGAAGCAGAAATCAACGCTGAAGGCATTGGACAGACGCACTTGCGATTCTTGGCATGGTGCCTAACATGATTTTCGTACATTGTTGTTCCATGAAACAATGAAATCAGCTGATTTGCATTGGGTCATACCCTCTGGTAAACTAACATAGCTATTGAAAATGGCCATTTATAGTGGATTTTCCCATTAAAAATGGTGATTTTCCATAGCTATGTTAAATTACCAGAGGGTATATGCTTTGTTGGCTGCCTGAGCTGAGGACTGACATGGGATGGCTTGGGGCAGCCTTTGCTGCAGCACACAGCCAAGCAGCGTAGTGTGCTCTTCCCGCAGCCTCCCAGTTCGTCTGGCCTGAAAGTGGAGATTGGCCACTGGAACCAGGACACGCGTTGCATCGCGTTGCTGGTGGTTTCAACCATTTACTTGGGATATCTTGGGATATCTTGGGATCTCATTTTGGGATGAGCTCAGCCCACTAGATTAGATATTTGCGGCCCACGAGTCCCACGAGCCATTTTTTTTTGGCACTTGACTATCGCAGACTTTCGATGAGCAAATACGCGGGCAGAGTTTCTTGTTGTATGAAGCCCCAATTGTGACAGAAAATCTCTCTCTCTCTCTCTCTATTCAGAATGCCGATGGACTATTTAGCACTGCAGTCACTAAGGTGACATGGGTCAAGTGGGAATCGCCTTGGATGATGAGCCAGACATGGCTGCTTGTGGAAATAGGCTTCTGGACGATGAGACATGGCCTCTCGGCAAATAGTCCAGTTTGAGGGTCCTGTCCTTGGCATGCAGCAGTGCTCAATGAGGCTCAATGGTCCTTGCATTTGTGCACCAGGGCCATGTCATGTCAACCTCCCTGACCTGAGCCCATGTTTTGAGCCCAGAGTGTGCCCATGCTCCAAGCGTCACACGATCATTACGATATTTACGATGCATGCCAGAGTCGCTAGAGTTGATGTGAAATATGCCTAACATATTCAGTATCTACCACCAATCAACCATTGGCGATTCAGGGTATCCCCCTTGTCAGTGCTAGATATTGGTACCTGTCAGAAAGTCAAGCGACGAGTTTGGAATGTGTTCAGGATTCCTTTCGGGTATGTTCCTGATCGTTCCTGTGTGTGCTCGCTTGTCTTTACTGAGTATATACGATTACTACATCTCAGTTGGGTTTGTGACAGGTTTACTCCCTTGCTGGAGTTGGCAGCCATCCTCAACTTGGAGGCAACCACTAAGAGACTGCTGAACTTCGCACGAGTGGCCGCCTGGACAAGCATCGAGAAATTCGTAGCTGCTTAATGCTGCTTATTCAATTTCTAGCTCTGTAGAGAGTAGTGTCCAAGTCCTAGTGTATCCTAGTGTCAATGATTTCCATAGTGTCTTATTATTTGTCAGACCGCTCCAGGTTGTTTGGCAATGATGCGACAGCCGCCGGGGAAGTACTGAGGTTCGGAACGTCATGAGAAGTGAGGACATCACTGAGCCAAAGGATGTAATCCCCACTGGCCGAATGGCTCGCGTCATTGCCAGGAGATGGGAAGGAATCGGGGAGAGTATGAACATGTTATGATATGATATGAGATGATGTCTTATTCTACTCCATTCATCTCCATTCTATTACCGTACAGTGTATTATACTACAATATTACATTATTTATAAGTATACTGTAATTATATCAATATCTTTATGTATTTATGCAGTTTCATTGCGAGGCGTGCAGGCCTTTCGGCAATACATCACTTGCCCCCAGGATCTTGCAGGAGATTGGCACAGACGGGCAGCACGTGGCCGACGCCGAGCCCACGAGACTTGAACAAGACATCTATGGCGTGGTTGAAGGGGCGGTTGGCGGCAAAGGTGCCTTGGTTGGACGGCGGCCATCATACGGCCATTATCGACCATCTACCTGGAGAAAATGAGGGAAACAAAGGGGGCGGCTGTGGTAGATTCCGAATGATTCCGAGATAATTTGTTGTGCCATGAGATGCTCCAAATGGCAAATGCAAGACTGGCTTTGAGGTTTCTTTCTGAGGTTCCAAAATCCATCAAAAATCGGAACGAGCCTATTTTATCCTATTTTCATGCTTTCATCCAAGAAGGGTTTGAAAACTGTACCTTGGTGATCGTTGATCTTTGTCTTTGGGCGTTTGCCACTCGCGTGCTTCGAGGCCTCGATGTGACACGGATCACGCGGCTGCTCTGGGATCATTTGCCTTCCGAAGCGTGCAGCTTCGTTCAGGAATACACCGCTGAGGCCGGAAGGACCCGGAAGGTCGTTGATGATTAGAGGTTTCCAGCATGTTTTCATGAAGTTTCATGGGGATTCATGCAGTTTGCGATATGTGAGTTTGCCACACAGGGAGGCCTCTCAGACATGTGCAGGTTGAGTTCACTAGACGACAAGATGACAATCATTTTGATCACCTGGCCCCGCTCAGGTGGATTTCGCCATCAAGTGGTTTGACTCAGCTTCCCGGCTTTGATTTGCTGAAGGAGTATTACGATAGATAGTTTAGGTATGAGTTTGATTGAGTTTGTATGAGCCCGTGTTGTCGTCCCCTCGTGCGATAAAGATAGGGGCAGGCTCTTTCCTCTCACACAGATGAACCCGATGACTAGATGGACAAAGCAACAGATGAAGCCAATGACTCGTGGGATGTACAGATAAATACAGTGTCGGAACCAACTCAGTTCCAATCCCTCAAGAGTTCTAAGATCTTGGATGCCTTAGGTGCTGAAGCCCACCGAGCCCACAAGTGGTCCAGATCCTTGGATGGCGATGACATCTAAAGGAATCTAAAGGTGTACAGTACCTGGTAGATCCTGAAAGTATGTGAGATTTTGAGAGCTGAATTTGATGCCCAGGTCTCTAAAACATCGAACACATTCGAAAACCAAGTTTCTCTTCTCAAAGTGTTCCGCCTGTTGAATTGACAAAGTGAAAAAACAATCTTTTTTGACCTCGCAGCATCAGGACCCTGGAAAGGCCACCGAAGCACCTCCGTCGCAGAAGTTCCGTCGGGAGCTGCAGGAGGTGGCGCCCTGTGCTTCCAGGCTCTATGAAGCGGTCGCTCGGCCGGGACAACTGTCCCGCCAGGTGGAGGAGTGGCTCGGCTGGGTGAGGACCGTGAGTAGTCGAATCTTTTTTTTTTAAAGTGTCATTGTCATTAATTGTCATTGTGTTTTGGGGAAGCTGTTCGAGTATTTGAATGTATTTGACGTATTTGGGAGTTGCTGATGAATGCTGATATTTGTGGTGCTTCGCTGCAGATTCTTTTGAACACTGGTTCCGTCTCACTTAAGGCAGCTGCTGCGCGCAGCCCCGTATCTCACAGGCAAGCAGGTGGAGCACTTGCTTCGACATGCCAATGTCGGGGTCACTTTGAGGCAACGTCTGAAGTTCTTGCTTGGCTTAAAGCGGCGAGTGGAGAAAGTCGCGCAAGGCTGCTTGGAAGCTCTTGGAATTTCTAGGTTTCTTTTTCATAGATTCATACTTGTAGATGCTTGCTTGAACTCAAGGCATGGCTTGCTCATCTTGCTCCACACTTAGAACATTGAACCAGCAATTTGGAGAAACAAATGCCCAATATGTATCAATATGTCATAGCCATAGCTGATGAGCGAACCTAAGCTGGTGACGGAACCGATTACGTATAGGCTAGGACATAGGGCTTGGCTATGGAGCTGCTCGTGTGTCTATTGAAGAGTCTATTGTACGACCTTCTGCCCGTGCAGCGCCCATTGCAATCCTCCCAGCCACATGTCTGGGGAGTGACTATGTGTGAATACCATTGAAATATCATTGAAATCTTTGAATACTAAGTTACATTAAGTCACTAAATGCCATTGAAGAATATTGAAGACTCATTCAATGAGCTTGCAAATTCCTGGCCGTGGCGCCCTGCCAAGGCTATGGTGGCCCGGCTTTTATGCCTCAAGGCATGGCGGTGGGGTTCTTCCTGGCCACAGCCATCCGTGCGTCCTTCGCCGGAGTGGAAAAGAAGCTTGTCCAGCGATCCACAGGAGGTACATGAACATCATGAACATCATGAACATACCGTAATGTGACAATCAAAGGTGATCAAAGGTGATCAAAGGTGATCAAAGGTGATCAAAGGTGATTGATTTATATTGATCCTATTGGTAACTAGTCTGTTCCGCGGTTCTTCTGGATTGCTGGGCATTCACGTAGATTGTGACGAAGTGCGCGTCCCTGCTGAATCAGGACTGCATCCTCCCAGAGGTTGCTATCGCGGTCGACTGAGGAGCCCAAGAAGGCCTCCACACGTTTGGCGGGTGTCTTGCGTGAGCAGCGTGCTGTTGCGCAGGAATTGTCCCTTAGCTTAGAGGTGAGCTCCGCCAACTTACGGCTGCTAGGATGAGATCAACATAGATAAACTTCAGATAAACGGCACGGCATGAAGCCATTTCCATTGGTAGTTCTGTACAACATTGTCCGTCCGAACACAAATGCCAAGGTCTCGCTTGCAGGAACGTCAGCGGCTCCTGTTGGAAGAGGCATTGATCTTGTCTGGCTTGGAGCAGCGCTCGGCCAGTGATCCCATGCTGGTTGTGGCTTGGTGGTTGAATTGTTGAATCGGACTCGAAAAGTTACTGAAATGCTCTTGCGATCATGAATCTAGAACTATATATATATATATATAATATCATATATAATATAATACTAGTATGAACTAATCACTTTGGAGAACAGCTCTCTACTTCTATCATCGGCGAAAGGCATCCATGTTCTTGAAACTCACCAAGGTGGACGACACTCCCTGCAAGTCCTTGACGCCCAACGAGAACCCCAGCTCCATGTCGTCCATGTTGTCCTGTTTGGCGCTGCCGGCAGCTGCTCCAGCAGCTGCAGTGGTGAGTGCCAACGCAGCCTATGCTCAGCGGCTGCAAGCGCCAAAGCCGGAGCCTGGAACTGGCACTAGCAGCACTGGCAGCGCATCGGTGGTGAGAAGCCAAGTGCCCCATGAGTTGTTTGACCTGGGCTCATCCTTGTTGCTTGGTATGCTTGGTGATGCTTGGTGCTTCGAGCTCTCACGTTTTGTGCTTATGATTCTTACGGTATACCTGCGCTCTAGGGAGGCGTGTCTAAAAAAGATGATTTCTTTCCGCAACAAGTGCCAAACTTTTCCCTTGATGGGATTTGTGGACTTTGTGGCTTGTTGCACATGTCCATGGATGGTTTAGGTATCCAAGTTGAGAACTCCACCAGGCCTCCAACCTCTTCCAAGGTTGGGGCCCATGGAGGTGGCAATTCTGTTGCAGAGCGGCCTGGCGGCGGTACCCCAAGGCCGTCAGGTGCAGCAGAACCAACGGATGCTTTTGGAGATGATGGTCTCACAGCCGCCTCTGTTCCTAAAGGGTGTGCTCTATGAACTTTCCAACAATGGGTCAGCCAGGGTGCCTTGCCTTTAAAATTAACACTTTTTGACAGCTCGGGGGATGCTGGGGCCGTGGAACTGAGATCCACTAGATGAGAACCAGGTATCATTTCGAGGCTTTGATATCACTGGCAAGGATGAGTAAACATCAAATTTCATGTTTGGATTGCCTTCTACATCTTCTACTGTATCAGCTTGTAAAATGCCTCAACATCCGATCGCAAATGCACTCATTTACCCCAGAGTTCTTGATGCCTTCCAACCATATTCCAATCCATTCCAAATCCTTTGTTTCCTCTGCCCTGGGCCTTGAAGTTTCGTTAGTTCCCCTCAGGTGCTTGGCAATCACCTGATGGCTCTCTTGGACCTCACACAGGATGCCATTCGCCCCAACGCACGGCTGGATGTGGCAGATCTCTTGACGCAAGCCTTGGGGGTTAGCATGCCTAGAAGATCCGACTTCATGGCAGGCTGACACTCTTTGGATATTACCTGATATTGCCTGGATAAATTGGGCACATGATATTTTAGAATCACGTTGCGCCACAAGAATGCACGCGCCTGTGCACGGGTTTGAACACTGACAGCAGGTGGCAGCTCTGCCAGCAGATCTTACCTACTTCTGGTTCATCGGGCTGCCAAGCATGTCCTCGAGGTGGGCTCATGTGGGCTCCCAAGGGCCCCCAAGCGTAGAATATCATAGAATATCATGGAATCAATTTTCATTGGAGTGAACCTGAGTCAGTCAAACCTCTCGCCCTAGCCGCCCTGGCCTTTGACGCAATAATGACGTATCTCCCCGCAGTTGCCATATGTTGCCATCAGCCCGGCAAGGAATGTGGCCCCTATGTGGCCTTGAAGCATTGGCTGCAACGTTCGGAAGTTCCTCTCCCTGCCGTGCGTGATGTGCCCATGCCTTCAGCGGAGCGTGCCATTGCTGCCGCCCAGCATGCTATTGAGGTTGCAGATGCTGCTGGTGATGAATGGCTGAAGGTGTGATATCATCAGGGTATCAAGAAAAGATGTGCCAATAACCAGTAACAGTAACATTAACATCCAAAAATGATGAAACATGACGTTAACATCATTTTTTTATGATTGTCATCAATTTACAACACTTCGAGTTTTGCAACGTCTCAATTTGTTGATCATTCGAGTGCGATGACATGTTTAACGACAAGTGGTCTGTTAAGTCCAGCCAGGTGAGGGGCGCCCCTTGGTATGATGGCGCCCTGGAAGATTCATCACCAGCTGAGCCCAAGGAGGAACAGCTCAGGAACGAGGCCCGAAAGCTGTACACCATGGCTTTCGAAGCCTGCGCAATGGCCCTGAAGGGCAGCCAGGAGCCCTGGACATTGGCTTCCTGTGATGGGATTAAAATGGTTAGAGAGAGACACCAGGGGGAATCGATGGGAATGGATATGAACCCTTGGAGATCAGTGCCCGGATAGTGACATGAAATAACCAGAATGGGTCATCTACTAGTAGTCACTAGTCATCACTAGTCACTAGTCCACTTTATCCATGGCCAATTTCAAGGGCCAGCGATGTGCACGCCATGATGTCAACAGCTGGCTGCGATCGCTAGGAGGTGTTGCATCAGGAGTGGTTCCAAACCTTTTGGGCGCGGAACTATGATGCCCTGACAGTTGTCTCGGTGCTTCAAAATGTGCAGATGGATGTGGACAAAACGAGAAAATGGGTGGATGGACAACTGAGACATGGCACCTCTACCTCCACGGACTACAAGGGTGTGAGGGAGGCTTGCGATGCCTTGTGGCAGAAAAATCCAAGGAGTGAGGCATGTTTGGTGGATTGTTTGATTGAGATCTTGTTCTACGATCCTGCGGATCGCCTGAAATATCGAAGAGACGCCTTGATGCAACTGATCATAGAGGAACCACCGGGACATTTGAACTTCACAGTGGTCTCTGCTATGGGAGTCACTGGTGGAGGAATCGCAAACTTTTCACTGTCAGAGATATTTGATATTATTTGATGATATGTGCATATATGTGCTATATTATATTGTGCTATGTCTTTTGTTTGGCAATGTCAGATTTAATATCATTATATCATATTATATCATATTATATCATATTATATACCAGTAATATAGTTTTAGCAGGTTTTCCTAAGGAGTTCAGCCTGCTCAGCCTGAAGTCTTCCCATTTGGATCATTTGGATCCAGGTGATCACCGAGGGCGCGAAGGGCACAGAGATGGCCGCAACCTACGCTCGCCTGCGTGAGCGACGTGGAGTTGAGGTGGGAAAGGTAGGGGTTTAGGGTGGCAAGGAGGATCAAGGAGGCGTCCCGAGGCTTAGCAAAATCATGAAACTATGAAAACATCATTTTTTGTTGAATAATAACTTCATAATAACATATAATAACATTGAATAAGATTCTTAAGATGGACTCTGGACGGCCCACTTCTAGATGGCCATCTGGTCATAATATGTGGTCCATAATGGGCCACAGATGGCCACAGTTGATAGCCAATTCCGGTAGCAGTAAGATGCAGTGAGATGGGATGCCTCTAGGGGTTCCCCCCTCAGAGCCTCTCGGGATCTCTTGGGTTTTCCCCATGGTTTTCCACAGGTTGTGCGTGCTGACACTGCCACCCTGCAATCCGTTGATTACAATGCTGCCTGTGTGGAGAAGACGGTGAAAGAGGTTTCTACACCATGGGGCTGGGTGGGCTACAGCCAGGGCTGCGCCAATGCTTTCAGGGCAGAGTCAATGATGTTGCAGGCAGGATGTCCTTGTGAAACTGCAGGTGGGTCATGGTCCACCAAAATATACCGTGTACAGTACACAACTACACACACGGACACATAGTACATTACGTTACGTTATGTTAGATTATGTTCCGTTCCGTTCCGTTACATTGCATACATCTATATGATCTATCTGTGTATATAATATGTATATATATTTATATATATAATATGATTAATATGTGCACATATGCATATGATATGTCATATGTAGAATTCTATATAATTTCAAGATTTTGGACATTTCCGGCCAACCCCCAGGGCACCCCGGAGCAGCAACGGCTGATGAGCACCTTCCGCTGCCGGCAGCTGCTCTTCTCGGCCGCCAACGGCTCGGCCCACGCCACCTGTGGCGACTGGAAGCTGCTGAGGGCTTTGGTGGACGGGGAGCGCTTCCTGAAGCGCTTTCAGGTGTGGAGCATACTGCAAAAATATGATGTCATGACAACATTATAACAACATATGTATATTATTATGATTAAGAATTATGTCATATTAAGTCATGTTAAGTGATATATAGATAAGTAATATAAGTAATATACGTAATAATATAAATAATATAAGTAATATAAGTAATATAAGTAATATAAATATATAATATAAGTAATATAAGTGCATAAGTGTATATAATTATTACACTCTTATTCCTACGGTAGTTGTATGGTAAGATGATCTCATGTACTTGATGTCATGATAGATATACTTTATAAGATCAATAATATACTACACCCTGCATGCCGTTTGCTACACTAGGTTCACAAAGAATCCTAAATGACTCTGAATAATTGATTCAAGCTGTTTTGAAGAGCACAAGGGTTTAACGTCGATTGAATTTAGGTTTTAGGTGTGTTGGTATCAATTGCAGGGATGACACGTCATCCTTAAACTGGTACATAAAAGGATGTAAAAGGCTTGGCACCCTGTCAGGCCAGCATGTCTGCTGCGACCCAAAACCTGGCTTTGGACTTGCTTCAGAATGCGCTCTCCTCACGACTTGCCTATGCAGTGCTGGGAAGCGTTCAATCCCTCACCCATGAGGGCGCAAGAACCATGTGGCGTGATGGCCAGCATGCCCATGCACCCTCCACCTCGATGAGGGGGGTCGTGGAGTCGCATACCCTGCCTGAATGCCTCATGTTTGTGTCCCTTTGCTTCCCAAGCCATAAAACTTTTCAAGACTTAACCCTTTATGAGGTTTCCCAAATTCTGGCAAATTCCACTCTACCTGCTACCAGCGTGTTTTGCAAGAATTTTCAGCCCGTTACACGCGAGGTCCAACATTATCCTCCAGCAGATGGATTACAGCCAGCGGCAAGACACCCAAGTGGCTGTCGAAGAAGCCGTGGCATACCCCACTAGCATCCGCAATGCCAATGCAGAGCTGCTGAAGCGGGTTGACATGCGCAGTGCCATTCAGCGAACACACCATTGGTCACCTCTTCATGAAGAGGTTCTGGGGCGATGCATGTATCTTGAATGATCTCAAAAGGGTCACATTTGGAAGTTCGAAACAATTTGCATTGGATATCATTGGATCACATTAGGATTCTGTAAGCCAGTCCGGAAGCTCTTCCGCATGGGAAGACGTGGGCTGCACGGCCAGGTGCTTTTCCTGACAACCTCTGGCGATGATCCGCTGGCCATGTTCGACACGCCCAAAGATCGCCATGTGTTTCCATGGCTGGAAGTGAATACTCGGTTCGGAGTCATTCAACGCAAGGATGAGTGCAGCTAAGACATGCTAAGACCATCGAAGGGATCCAAAGTAATTTTTCCATTCAAATTTGAGCAGTGCCCAAAAAGCAACCAGGGCTACAAGCTTCGGTACGTGGATGATGTGTAATAGATGTGCAGATAGACAAATCGACAGATAGACAGATCGACTTGATAGATCGATAGATCGTTGCATCAATCGATAGATAGATAATGATAGATAAAGAGAAACCATAAAAAATGAACACGGCTATTGTGAGCATAGGGGCTTTGTGAGGCTTTTTAAAGTGGCAGGCCAGACTTGGCTCCACAGGTTGCAGAACAGATTGGGCATTGCTCAACAAATTGTAGACAGCGCCTGATTCCAGTCTCAACGCGAGTATGGATCCGTTTGCGCTGGCAGCTCGTTTAAAAATTCCCGCACAACTTGCTTATTGACGGGCCGCTAGACACTTCATGGTTCATGCGATGTGAGTTTGAATCAATGGTGGGAGGAAGGGAGGCAGACCCTTGGGTGTTCTCCTGTGTTTCTCAATTCATGGTGCAGGTATCACTGGATCCATCAGCAATTTCTTCTACCGCCTTACCAGCCTTGAGCCAAGCGGCAACAAAAATCACAGACGTCCTGACGTCCCAAGTTCTTGGACCAATTGGTTTGTTCATGTTTGTTCCTTCCATCATCTTTGATCCATTTTGATGATTTTTGATGATTTTTGATGATTTTTGATCCCTTGGATCTGGATTGCTTCATTTTGGTCCATGCCCCGAAGGGGTGTCCATGGCTCATGGCCCTCCATGTTCCCGCCTCGTGGCCGAGGTCACCTGACGCCAAGATGGCTAGAAGGTGTCACATGTGGTGGTGACCTTGGAGACGCATGCGCTGGATATGATATTGCACGACAGGACAAGGGAAAACTACATAAAGCCAACAAAGGGAAGAGTGAATGGAAAAGGCTCAGTTCCGTTGCTTATTCAGTATGTAATTATCATATCAATCGAAAGCTATTTTCCTCTACAACATGAGTGATTTTGGAGCGCGCAATGGCGCAGAGCATGGCAGCCATGATTTCAAGGGGCTACTGAGGCATCCGTTTCGGCTTTGGAGTCGCTTGCATCCTGTTGACCTACATGGTGACTTCCTTGAGGCGTGGCTGCGAGGAATCATATTCCAGCTGTGCTTTGATGTCAATAAATTACACGCACATATTTGATAAATAATATAAATGATATGTGCGTAACACACACACATATATATATATGATACAATACAACACACATATATATATATATATTACAATACTCGTACAATCTATAAATAAATGAATATATATGAGATGGCGATGGAGAGAGAGAGAGATATTAAATACAGAGTTATATATATATATATATAATATAAGACAATACACACACACATATATATATAATGCAATGTACGGCAATATAATATATATATATATAATTTATTGTTATAAATTATAAATGCGCATATGCACACATGATTTGACATTCATTCCTGGGGTATGTTTCCGTTCGACATACCTTACATTCCCCCTCCCAACAAGAGCCCGTTGGTGGCGCCAGGCTACGGTCCGGAAGCACCAAAGAGCGCATACAAGAGATTAAACGTTGCTCTGGAAAGGGATGAAACCTGGGAAGACCACTTGGCTAGCGGCTATAGGGAATGACAATGTCTAAGAGCCTAAGAGATTCTAAGACGCAAAATGCAGGATTTTTGGATTCAACATGATTTAACGCGAGCTGTCCTGATTTTGCCAGTGATTGTTTGCATTGAATGCTCACGCCGGGTGACACGCATCAGTTTGCGCCAAAGAGGCTTGTGAACAAGGATGTCACGTGCTGACCCGGCTAAGGTTTGAACACCTTGTGTGCGCAGAGAGTCCTGGAGTTAATATTAAGCCTGAAAGGCTACTACATCAAGGCTCAGGGGGTGGCTACGGCAATGTCACAGTTTGATAAGTTGATATCGTTTGGAAGACAGGTTTCAATTCGCTGTGCAGCCACGCAAGGCCGCACAGACTTTGTGTGGAGCGGGCCAATTTCCAGAAGAGTTGCTTGGACCAAGACTGGTCTTGCAACAAACCTTAGATTTTTTTATGAAATTTCTCTTGGGACAATCAATTGTTTTGTTTTGTATTGTTTAAAGATTTTTTTTGATATTTTTGCATTGTTTTGAATCATTTTCTATTGTTTTGTATTCTTTAATCTATTGTTTTGTTCCCCTGCCCATTCTATGCTTCCAAGATGTTCCAGTTCCCGTCACGTCTTTGTGAGGTTCGATGAGGTGTTCGCCGTTCTCCTGGATCAATGCCCACAGGACACATTCGAAGATTGGGGTGACTTGGGGCGACCTTGGAATTCATCAAATCCCAACAGGCCGAAATCCGATTGGCGGAAATTCCTGGAAATTGAATTAAGGAAAATGCTGGGAATTCCCTGGGGACAAGTGATGCCTGTGGCATAAAGATGTAAAGGGTGAGCGTGGAATGGGCTGGTGCTTCTTTGATACAAGGCACCACGCAGGAGTTGATCACTTCCTCCAAGAGACCAGTTAGGGTTAGAGTTAGGAGGGTGTTGCTCTGCGAAGGAGCCATACGAGGTAATCTGCGACATCCTGGAAAGCCAGTCCGACATCTCAGCATATCTCAGCAGTTTTTCGGTGCAAGCCATCGTGGAACATACGGACCCTGTTGCCATCACTTTGTAGGGACTCTCACCTCAAGTGTGCCCACCGGCTGAGGCTGGGGTGTTTCATAGGCAGGGCTGGGTGCCGGTGCTTGTGCTGGGCAGAGTCAAGAAGCAACAAAGATAAGAAAGGAGCTGCGCCAGCTACGCAGCGCACGAACGAGCAGCTGCCACTTTGGGCCACTTTGGAACGGCAAAATCGTAGGCAATCAACAAAAATATACAAAAATCAAAAGAACAGATAAAGAAACAACAAAGGGAGGGTGCGCGGTGACTGATTCTGCCTTGAGCCAGGTGATGCTTTTGACGATTTCGACCATAAAGCAGTGGCAGCTGCATCAATCGCCCAGGACTGGCTTTGAGTGTATCGATGACTGTCGATGCGTTGCACCATGTTTCACCCGTAACATCAGCGCAGTTCCCATAGGCGACGGATCACTGGGGGTAGTATAGACGGTTGGCGGTTGACAGGTGCACTTTGCAAAGCTGAAGGATGGCACAAAGGCACCTTCCAGCATGGTTTGCATTGTTGAGTCGTTTGAATCGTTGAGGTTTGGTTTCTGACTCGTTCAGTTGCTCCTTTCAAGTAACAGTTAAGTAACATATTGCCAGCCCTGTCCCTGGTGGCCGGAGCAACGTACTGTGTTGGAACCTAAGACAGGTGGCGGTGAAGGTTCAGTTTCCGGATGTGGAACGTTTTTTCCACATGGACGCGGGGAATCCCAGCAAGGTAAGGGTGGTGAGGTGATGTGAGGTGGCAAGGCTGAATCACAACTGTAACTACTTCTTTCATCTTCTTTCCTGTCTTGGACTGAAGGTGGCTACAGTATCCTTCGCCCTGCAGTTGCTGGGCATGGGAAGTCAGGTGTGGATGGACGCTGATCTTGGGGGTTTGCGGGCGACCGTGGACGCGAGGTGAAGGAAATCTTCGCCACAATGCAAGCCTGGGATCCCAGATCGACTCTCGGAGCGCTTTGTTGTGATCCCACGCAGAGCACAGATCCACGGTACAATTAGATGCCACCCGCCAAACGTCAGCCCTCCCGCCGCAGGATCAATTCAGACAGGAGTTTGACTTCACAGCAGAGGTCGGGAAGGAAACGGTTGCTCTGCTGCGAAGTGAATGTTGGGGTCAGCAGTATGAAACACCTTTGGTGGAGGAGAGAGAGAGTGAGTATAGTGAGTATGAGTAAACCATTGAAGCACACTGCAGCTAGGTTTAGCATGTATTAGCAATTTTGATCATCTTTGTGCGGTATTCATAGTGAGCTGAAGCGTCATGGCCTATTGCGCTTGAAGCGAGAGGGAGGGCACACAGGAAAACATCTTCGGCCAACCAGCCACGTGGCACAGCTGTTTACACCTTCAACATGCCCAGAACACAGGCCGAAGTGATGAGAGAGGTCGCCGATCAGGTTCTGCCAGGGACCTGCATCTCCCAGGTCTCAGGTTACAGTATCCAGCATATGGAGGGGGGTTCCAAATTGATGGGGATTGTTGTCACCGTTGCCTTGAAACATCCCCAAAACAGGATCAGTTTTGGATTGCCGATGCTAAGACCTTCCAACACCTTGCGACCTAGGCCTAAATTTGGGCGTCAGATCGACATACCTCTCCCGTTGCATGGCACAAAAGGGATGGGAATGGAAGGCTTTTACTGACTAAGAAATCTCATGAAATCTCCTAATCTCGAAGTGCTTCACCCCACTCGGCTCACCGTTGAGCTGTGTAACCTTTTCATCATCAATCATAAATGTCACAATTGGAATAGGTTTATGAAAGGACTCTCTCTGACTTACATTGTGCGGCAGATTGGCTCAAGTCACCAGAAGTATCCAGAAGTTTCAGATGCTAATTCAGCGTCCCTGCAATGCGCGTCTGCTTTGGCAATGCTTTCACTGAGCAAACCGCCGAATCAGGAGCATGGCAGTCTCTATATGCATGTCAGCTGATAGCACTACGAGACTTACGCCAAATGGCAACAACAAGGACGACATTTGAGTAAGTACAAGGACAACAATGCTGGAGAAACTTGGAAGTAGCACATCACCAACTCCAAGTCGCAGTACTGGAAGGCTTGTGACTTGTGCCATGTCAGCCGATGGCGTCAAAGTGCTTGTGAATGATTCACTGAATGGGCTTGGACAGTGCCATTATTTCGACCGAGAAAATCAGAAGGGCTCCTGGCACGCTGTTGCAATGTCAAGCGATGGTACGAAGATGGTGGCTGTGCAGAAGGGCGACAAAATTAGGCTGAGCTCCAGACAGTTGTGAAACTTGGCAGGAGTATACCAGCATCGGGTTAAATATTGGAGCGCGCTTATGATGTCAGCCGATGGCAGCAAGATCATGGTGAGGACACCAGCATTGCCCACAAGAATTTGGAAAGGTTGCGATGTCAGCTGATGGCGCAAGATGGCGATAGCAGATTTTGGCTGAGCTCTGTGGACTTATTGGACTGATGCTGCCATGTCCGGCCAGGATTGCTGTCCAGCGTTGCTGCGGTGAGATTGAGTTATGGCTAGTGAAGTCTGTTGCAGAATGCGGGGGTCCGCGGGATTGAAGCGTATGAAAATTTGCCGGAAGTCATCCAATCCAAGTAGCTCAGGGGTTACGAGGTCCTTCAACTTTCTCCACATTGCACAAAGTTGCCGGGTCTCATAGTGCTGTAGGACAGTTTGCTGCTGAAGATCAATCCAGTGAGCTCGGAGTCGCGGAAGCTCTTGTCAGTGTTGAAATGCACCAAGCAGCAGCAGCTTCAAGAGGAGAAAAAAACATGGACAACAAAAGAACATCTTGAGACCGTAACAGCAACATGCGATGGCGGCGCTATTTGGCAGGTGGCCCTGATCCAGCCGACCGAGAATCCTGACAAAAATTTCAATCAAGTGCAGTATTGCCATGTCCACTGACGGGACCTCCACAAAGATCACAAGATTTCCGGCAGCTGGACTTGAAGCCTCCCGGTCGACAGGGGCCGAGGTACCTGAAACTCGAGTATCACCTGAGAAGCCGCCATGCCCATCATATCCGTAAAGCCTTCAATCATTCAGGCCGTGTTTTCATTGATCGCGGCTGCATCGTGCACCACCAATGACATTCTGACTTCGACGACGAGGACACAAGCTGCAGTGGATGTGGTGTCTGATGCAGACACCAACAGCGCCACCACAGACGTTGTTGCTGTGGGCGCAGGCTTCACGGTCAGCATCCAAATGACGGGCAAGACCACAACCATCACCAAGCCTGAGCCAGAACCAACTTGGACTCCTTGTGGCCACCTCCTTCTGAGTCTGGATTTGATTTCGGCGGCTTTTCTGCGGCACGTCCGCATGCCAAGCTTGCAGTGAAAATAGTGAAAATTCACTACCACTGCGCCGTCTTTTCTGCTTTGCTGATTTTTCTGGTCGTGCTCGGAGGCGCAGCCAGTGGCAGCCTCCCTGAGGGAATGCAATGCAAAAAAAACACACCGAAGACACAGGTCACCACGCAAAAAGAGGTATATAGCTGGTTGAGCAATGTGTTGGAAAATGTTGGAAATGCTCAAGGATTGAGCAATGTCAGGGATTCGCAGGTTGTTTCATGATTTTCATGGGAGTGGCTCCTGCCGCTTCAACGCCCTTTGCTCAGGATCGATCGGGATCATCCTTCGTGCCCGGAAAGTGGTAGCCTTTGTTCTACCAAGGCAGGGTTAGCAACAGCAAGGACTGCATCGCAAGAAGCAAACGGCGAAACAATGCAAAACACACCTAAAAGATCCTAAAAGATCCGACCACAACGTGCTAAAGTTCCAATAATTAATTCGCCAGCAGTTTCCGTGTTCCAGATATACGTTACACACATCTTGAACATGACACGCCCCTTCCTGTGGCAGACAGTTTCTAGTCTGCAGTTGTAGGGAGCTGCGAATGGCCAGGTATTGACAATGGCACACTCCTCGGTCCAATGTTTCGCCAGTTGTGAAACTTCAGGAAGGCCTTGCAACACCAGACGGTGGTTCCTATGATCTCCTATGAAGGTTGCAAAAACGAAGCCTGTAAGCCAAGATAGCTAAAAGTGCTAAACAGTCTATAAATGTTTATAACATTTTATACATTTTATAACATTTCTCCACCCTTTGGCATTTTTGGATATTTTTGGCGCATGTGGCATCCAAAACATCTAAAAAGCGTCAGGGTCACGCTCTTCATTCTGCATCGAGCTAAGGAACGCCTGGAGGGCGTGCCAATTCGGCAGTATGCCATCCCCTTGATGAAAATGAGCCTCAACGGCAATAGAAAATCCATGAGTCCATGACCAATCATCACCATGATATCTTTGAGTATCAAATCTTACTGTAATTATTGCATTTGGGAGCCAGACAACTCTCGAATAGTGAGAATTGATTCATATCGATTCTAAATTGACAGTGCTCTCTTTCGGAGAAGCTGTGGCAATAACTTCCACGATTTGTTGTTGTACCCTTTCTCTTTCCTGTCGACATTGGTGTTTTCCTTTTCCCCCCCCAAGTGAAATCATAAATTAATCATAAAAATATATAAAAAGACTTCACACTCCTGTTGGTCTTCATTTTTTGTTGTTGGTACTCCAGGTTTGCCGAAGCACATGGTACCTCCTGGGACGAGCTGAAGAGGAGTATCTTCATGTCTTTGACGTATGCTGAGATTAGTGGAGCTGAAGGGTTCCATCCAATGTCCCACACGATCTCAAACATATAATATAATATAATATAATATACTATGATATAGTATAATATATATTACTACTTTACAATATAAAATATAATATAATATCACATTACATTCATATAATATAATATAATATCATATCATATGATGTAATTGAATAAATGTATAGTATTCCTTATTTTATCTGCACCGGTTGAGCTCATGGGCAATTCTTTCGCAATGACTGTTCACCTTGCTCTGCGCGGTGTGGTTGGACACCTGTCATGTGGCAGGTGTCGGCATTCAAGTACAGCGATTGTCATTGCAAATTGCTTGATAAAACAGATAACTAAGATATAAAACATCTACAGTCGAAAGGCAAAGATCCCAGGAAGCAGTCCTACCATGTCACAGGCGACCGGGGATCTGTTGCCGGCTCCAGGATCTTGGAGTCCAAAGATGTGACCAAGGCACCTGCGATGATAAAGAATGATCGTCAGATAGTCCCGTGATGTCCCATGGGTATTCACGGCATATAACGGCATTAACCAAATTATTTAAAGTAAATGATATCCGATCATATTAGCTTCAGGGGATGTGATCAGCTCTTGCTATATAAAGCACTACTTGCATCAAGAATCTTCTACATCGATGGGCCCAAGGAGTAAAAATTGATGTGTGCTCTTTTACAGTTGCATTCTGTTTGACTTCTTGCGCCACAGATGTGTCACATGAAGCTTGAGGATACACATTTTAGTATCTTTTAAACCAGTGTTTCCAACACTGGTAATCTTTGGCATTCTTTCCAATACCTTCGTCAGGCAAACTTGAAAGCTACCGGGAACCCCCTACTTCAGGCCGTACTCCGCCCAGCAGGTAGACCTCGAGAATCCTGCAGTGCGCAGGGTGGTTGCCTCAAAAGGGTTCACTGCTGAGGGTGCCTTGATAATCATTGATAAATGATATCATATGATATCAATCGTAACCCAAAATCTGTCAGTCTGCACAAGATCGAGGCTTTCAACGGCTGTTGGGGTCTCCCTGCAGTTAGTGTAAGGATGTAAGAGTTAGTGGGATCCCAAGGCGGCATACGGCGGCATACGGCGGCATAGCACAAATCATCGGGTTTGTAGCGTCTCCCCCAGCAAGAATGAGCAAGGACAAGCCTCCAAGCCTCCATCCTTCGTTTTGCGCCCTCCACTTGTCACCCAGTGCTTCTGCGGCTCATTGAAGTCATTTTCATGGCTTCACGGCCATCATCTAAACTATAATTACTTGTAAAAGGGCGGGATAAATTTCACAGAAGCCAGAAGAAGCGCGTAGAAACCGTGTTGGCATTTCAATAATTATATTATAATTATATATATATAATATACACACGTTTTTTGATTAAACACATTGAGCTACATACAGCCACATGATCATGTTTTTTGGAAATTCTTTGCCCAACTGAGGTTCTCCGCATGGGCCAAGTGACTGAGTGGCAGAGCCGCTTGTTGGCGCTGGGGATCCAGGCCATGAGTGTTGGGCCAAACCACTCCCTGGTGAGTCTTGAGATGTTTTTAGATGTTTTTGGGTTCCCGATTCATTACATTTCATGTATTTATATATATATATATTTCATCACACTATTTTCGCTATTTTGCTGTTTGAGATTTTGGATATGTTGAATGGTTTTTAGCCAATTTGCTAGCATGCAGCGCCAGGCAAGAAACTGCGCTGGCAGGAGAAGCTTGGCAGGGGGTGTCAAAACTGTGGATCTGCTCAAGTTCAACAGGCCCACTCCATGGCACATTGATCAGATTGAATGTACCCTGAGCTCTCTGATGGCACTGGAAACTGGGAGAGATACCAGTATGAGTGCCAGATACCATGTCGTCTCCGGTGCAAGCACAAAATACTTCAACCATTTTCTGCTTTGCTTTGCATTAATCATTGTAGGGATTGAATACACAGAATAAACATGCCAACAATAACATTGCTAGCCACCAGCTTCCAGGATCGTTGGCGGGTGCGCCGAAGGCGTTTGCAAGGCCCAGCGGCACTGTCGATTTCAGATTGCCTCGATTTGCTTCGGGCGACTAAAACCTCAAAGTGTGGCCTTACTTAACCTCTTTGAGATTCTTTGAGATTGTTGAGAAATTCTGAAAGCATGCATCCAGAGTCTTGGGCCCACTGACATTTCCCGGCAGTCCACATTCAGTCGACTGCGGCAGCTGTTGTGGTTCAATGGGTCGTTGCTTTGTTCGCGCCAGTGCGGCGCTGAGCTCATGGCAAGAGACCAGGTGAGACGCGAGCAGAGTGGCGTGGTGAAGAAACACCCCTTCCAGGGCAGAACGGCAGCTCGGTGGTCGATTCGCCGATGGCCCGGTCAGCAAAACTAAATGGGTCGACGTGCAAGTGGTCTGGATTGGTAATGGTTTTTTCAAGAGAAGGAAAATGCAGAAAATGAACAGACATGAACAGAAATGAAAAGACATGAAAAGTAATGAAAAGAAATGAAAAGAACTGAAAAGACATGAAAGGAATGAAAACAACGAACAAAAAGTGAAAGGAAATGAACAACAATGAAAGAAAAACAAAAACACACACACATGTATATATTTATCTCTTGGGTTTCGCGACAGGGGGACAACCTGCATTTTGTTTTTCATTGAGAACATGTTTCTTGAGATAATTTTGTTCCATCTATTTTTTTTTTATTCCTCTTTTGTGCTATTTTTTTTTGGCAAAACATGCAAAAAAAACAAGTAATTGAGACACATTTTTTTAAAATCAATCAAAAAGAAAATGAAATCGCACGTGCTGCAAGGGTGTTTCTGGTGCGATGTGCAAGGAACAATATGAGATTGTCTGCGCGTGGCCAGCGTTGTCAAAACAAAGTCAGTTTTGATAGGCCACAGCCTGGACAGATTAAATAGAATGAAGTAAAATCATTTCAGTTCTATCTATGTATTTTTTGTATATGTACTTCTTCTTATTTCTCTTTATTTCTTTTTATTTCTCTTTATTTTTCTTTTCTTGTGACAAAATGTATTTTTATGATCTTATTTTTTTTGGGGGGGATTTTTGGACCAACCAAACCATGTTGAAACTAACCTACTGCAACCTGCACCGCCACCCATGGGGTCACCTGGTTTCCTGTTGCTTGGTAGCTGCAAGTATCATTTGTGGCACTGCTAGGCTCAAATTCAGCACCTGGAACTTTTTAGATTTTTTCAATGATTTTTGTTAGTCTCTAAAAGCTCAGCATTCGCTTCAGATTGCTATCGTCAATGACTTGTCCCTGGATGAGCAGTGGTACGTCTACCACAAGACCAGACGCTTGGCGTGATTTTTTCCAGACCCAAAAAGCTTAGTCGTTGCACTCTGGCTTTTGGTCCGAACTTATTGACAACTTATCTCAGTTTCAAGATTTTGAAGGTGCTAAGTGCACACAGACAATCATGAGGATACTGCTTACCTCACCAACAAAGCTGAACCCTTCACAGTAAGGCTTGTAATTGACTGTTGATAAGGCTTGTAATCAATTGTCGCACATTGAATATCGACATTGTTTGTCTTGAAGGTGATGTGCCGTCTTGTGCCATCAATGCGAGGAGAGTTGAAAGAAGCCATTCGCACCGGGGAAAACCTCGACCAGTTTCGGCTACAGAATCGTGAGGCCCTGGGTGTGAAAATTCCAGCTAGCTGATTTTCCTGTTATCCTGTCCAAGACGCATTCTTGCAGATAGCCATAGGGTGCCAACCTTTACAAACCAAACCCTCAACAAATCAGGGTCTCTCCCAAAAGACCGGGTGTTCTTCAGCACAAGCAAGACAAAACAACACAAGCGTCGGCCCACTCGACGTTGTGTCGACATCGTCGACCATGGCAGGCTGCGGTGTACACCATTTTTATGGAGGACTCCACTCGGACAAAGGAATCCTTTCGCAATGCAGCCGAGTTCCATGGCCTCAAGGTCAACGTCTTCGATGCCAAGACATCATCCTTCCAGACGCCTGTTGGGAAGGGGTTTGCCAGGGAGATTGGAAGCAGGGCCCAACTTTATGCTTGTGTGATCTGGTTTGTTCAGCCTATAGAATCTACTTGCCCTACCATCCTAGCAGATGCGCTAGGAAGATGGGACATTGTGACATGCCTGAGGATTGACATGTTTGCCATTGACCTTGATACATTGATAGATATCAAACTTGTCGGGGCCATCTGATTTGTTGATGACGAATGAGAAACATGAGCCAACGACATCTGGAATCTTGATCATTCTTGATCTTTATTTTCCAGCGTTGAAGAAAGATCGCCCAAGTCCAACTGTTGGAAACTTCCGTCCGCATGCTTAGGAAGAATGAGACCATCACAGACACCATCAAGATGTTGTGCGGCTATTCAACTGGCCAGAGCCTGTTTGTTGTTCGTTCCAAGGTGCCACTGATCGGGAGGAACCCTATCAATATCATGCAATAACATGCATTCAAGAACATGTTTTATGAATTTTTATGATGTTTCACGTGTAGTTCCAGCCGCTATGACCAGAAGCATTGCTGATTTCTAGCAGTGCTGATGTTCGGAGTTGCTTTCAAAAAGCTGCTTTCCACATGTTAAACCTATCATGGGCCTCAACGGCGAAGGTGGAGGGTGTCTGCCGATGGCTGGAAGAGGCCATCACCAAGTACTGCAAACAGCGAGGCTTTCCGAGGGCCTCCTTCATCAATGCAGGCAGCGCATCGTGGCCACCTTTCCCATCCCCTTTTGGAGACGGGTTGGAAATGTGCCTCTACAGTACCCTCTGGTAAACTAACATAACTATGGAAAATCACCATTTTTAATGGGAAAATCCACTATAAATGGCCATTTTCAATAGCTACGTTAAATTACCAGAGGGTACTCCCTTCTACAAGGCTTTCCCCCTTGAGCTGAAAGATGAATCGAAGCACTTTCGTCCCGGGTGGTGATTTGCTGGCACACTGCAGGTGACGGGCGGCATGAACATCCGTCACAGGACACGGAGGGCTTGGGCGGCCTGCGGTTCTTTGCAACCTGTTTGTGGCATAGTCGGCACAGTATGGACTTCATTCGTCCATCAAGCGGTGGCTGCTGCGGCATACCTCTAACGAGAGATTAAATATGATCAATCATATTGTGGGTTTTCACGTGCTTTGACGATGAATTGACTACTGTATATAGATCTTTCACGTCCAAACATCCGCAGTTTGAAGCTCTGGTGCTTTTTCTTCCAGCATCAAGGAGATGTTGGATGAGTTCAGCTTCCTTGAGACCAAAGGCGCTTTGGTGCTGTCTTATGGGCAATAATAGTGCATGGCAGTGGTTCAAAGACAAGACATCTCAAGTGAGTCGGAGCAGTGTATTGAACACGTACGAACACGTTCAATCTCGACCGGGTCCACTACGTTCATCAGTGATTCATCAGAGTTCCTCCTCAAATTTTCATAGTGAAAGTGTGTGGTTGTCTGGAGCGTCCAGGCCACCGTGCCCTAGGCATGTCTCATAATCCGGCGTTGATGGAAGCAGCATTTGAACGTGTACTTTATGTAGATCTTTGATGATCTTTGTAGATCTTTGTAGCATTGCGAATCTTATGGAATCAACTCCATAATCATGGTCCATCCACCATTGCCATCCTATGCCCCACTAATCCCTAGCCTCGATACGCGGGCAGGTTGGGATACCTCAAGTATCCATTTGGCCTTGTTGGGTGACCTCTTCCATGGCCGCACCGTGCACTCCAAGGTCGATGGCCTAAGGCCGGAGCCGTTAGCAGCCAGGATGGGCAAATTTTCAGGATAGGCTACTCAAGATATATCTATAGAATTCTATAGTAGCCTATGAATATTTATAGATATTTATAGATTCTCTGAGACCTAAGACCTCAACTTCATTCAAGTCCCCAAAATTCAAGACCCCAACTCTATCTAAATTATCTAACTCCACTAGTCTGAGAGCAACTCTTGGGGGAGATCTTGTGGAGTCGCCCAGCAGGATCTATCGCAAGGTCTTCGTGGATTTGGTGGCGCCAGCAGAGTTGGCCCTGCCCAAGATGTATGAAGACCGGATGGTGGCCAGGGGCTATGTGGTCAGGAGATGGTTTGGCAATGTTTTGCGAAGTGATATCAGTGATATCCCATGATTCCACGATATATAAGATATAAGATAGAGATAAGCCAATTTTGTGCCATTTACTGCCCATGTCCTAGACAAGCATGGCCGACAAGGCAAATTCTAAACATCATACGTTTCGGTGAGGACTCTGACATGTCTTGTGATGTGATGCAGAAGCGATTGCATGCATGCTTCATTACACACATTTTAGATGAACGCTTGGTGCTAGGAGATTCGCGTCCATTGATGAATACCTGGCACAAGACAAGGTGGCCAAGATTTGGTACTTCACTCGCTTGCAACTTGAGCGCATGGGTGACAAGGCTGGAGAGTGCTATCATTGATGTGCCAGTACTAAACCTCAATAATATATATAATGTACATGTATATAATATAATACAATATAATATAATATAGTATAATATTATATGATATTATATGATATTATATGATATTATATGATATTATATGATATTATATGATATTATATGATATTATATAATATTATATATATAGATATAAATTATAGATATAAGATGCTATAGGTTACTTTTATACATAAGCTATATATGATAATAATATCATAATCACTTACTATTACTATTATCATTAATTATAGCTTATTCGCATGTTATATATATATATATACATATTATTTTTACACACTATGTATGTTGTTTTCCTTGGTGCCCGACCCACTTGTTTGAAGCAGGTCTTGGACAAGTCAATGGAATTGCGGACAGCGGTGACGATGCGCCGCGACTTTGTGCAGTTGTTGCCCGAGGGCACAAAGTTCTTTCATCCCTTGTGCCTTGGCGCTTCAGGGTCACTTTCATGGGCCTTGAACCAACCTGCGCATCCTGGTCGTGACTTGAGGCCGAGGGACGCGAGATATCCCGTGTTGCCATTCTGGTTGGACGGAACTGAGCTCAATGGCTGGGACCAACAGTCACAGCCACTTTGCAGAACTTGGGATTTCTGTGAAAGATGTGGAAGTCTGCTTTTGTGTTTTCTTGTTTCGTCAGTTCCATCTTGTTTCCTCTTGGCGCTCAGGAATGGCTACTTCACGCGTCACCTGTCAAAATGAATGTGGTGTCACAGGGTGAAACAAGGACCTGGTGAGTAATCGAAGCCTCCGAATACCGGAAGTTTTTTTCAATTCGAAGGTTTCGATTACTTCTGGGATGCAGGGAAAGACTGTTTAAGGACTTCATCGTGCTGTGTCTCCTGTCTTTCCTTAGCCGATATGTTATGCAAGTATGCAGTCACAGCAGCTGCAGAGCCTTTGTACGAAAAGCCCGGATCAGGTATTGTTCTTCTTGGCATGCTAGGCCTGGGCTTGCCGCCGACCTTGGGTTCAGAGAGAGAAAGAGAGAGAAGAGCTCAACCTCAGCCTTTTTGTTGGTATTGGGCAATATAGTGCCACCCTCACCCTCCACCCCTTAAGAACTCTACTTGTACCAGTAGCAAGAAACTTCTACCAATACGAACTTACTGTCCATTTAACGAAACAGCTGCCATTTCCACTGTGGAGTGGAGAGTGCGTGTTGCATCGTGTCGCTGATGTAATTTGATATCGCAATTTTTGACACCTGAATGCGTGGCTTCAGGTGGCCATTTTGGAGATGACTTCCGCAGCAGTGGCAAAGAGGGCACCCTGCCCACCAGTCCCATGCTGCTGAAAAGCCCCTTTACAGGACCATTGGGTGAATATGTGATAATATATATACACACATACACACACACACAGATATATGTGTGTATATATATATATATATGTGTGTGTATATATATACATATGCAATTAATATGTGAGCTGGGAGGGCAACAAGGCAGAACACCGCCACAAGTCTCTCCTTACAGGTTGCCGTAGTCCAGAGTGTAGTTTCGGGACATTTTCCGTTTCTGCCAGAGGGAAGAGGTGATCACCGGCCAGGAGATTTCTCTCCAACTTCAGGGCCAATCGGGGCCGACATGCCCGATGATTTGGATCTGGGCTACTCCCCTGCATTCTTGGCAGCCACTGATTTCATCAAGGACCTCAGTCGCCTTGGTTTTATTTGCACTGGATGATTTGCAGTACATCTGAAGCGCGTTTTTTTTCTCAATCGTCTTCTAGATTCGCATCTTATTTCTGATGTTGGCTATAAAAAGCCGCCAGGATCTTTGATCCTAGGGTAGGGGTTATGGGAGGTGAGGCCTTTGACCTCATTGCTTCCAGTCGGCATCATGCAGGGTCAGAATATTTTGTCAACCTGATTTTCCACGGAACGATGTTTCAATATGTTTCAAGAATGGTGGATTTTAATAGAGTTTTCACTTCCATGTTTCTTACCCCAAGTACCCAATTGTACCCATTAGATGCGCTCAGCATCAAGATGGCTGCAGAGGAAGTTGCGATGGCCCCCACGGAGAGTTGTCCGGACAAAGTGAGTGAAGAGGCCAGGGAAGCTGCAGTGAACGCTTGGGCGGAAACTCGGTACTAGTAAGAGATGTAGGAGCAGGCGGGAGCAACCGTATGTTCAAAGGGCATTGTGTCAAAATCAACGTCGACCCAATCAGAAATCAATGGCTTGAAGAGCAAGCATGCGGAGTGTAGAGCTTTGTATTTTACTCTATTTTGAACTGCTAAGTTCTGTTTGAGCAGCTTGTGATAACTCATGTGCTGAAACAAACGATGAAATTCGCGTGTGACTGGTGCGCACACATAGGAGATGGCACCCTGGGTTGGAAGCACGCCCTAATGTGCTCCATTTCCCCACCACAGCATGGTTGAAGTGTATCCACGAAAACCTTTGCAGCTTGGAGCTGGAGGCTGGAAGAGGCTGGAAGTGTTTGGATCATTTTGTCTCCAGGTTGGTTTGGTGCCCATTGCCAATGGTATCATTATCGACAACCTGGCGTCAGGGCAGAGCATCGAGCAGGTGCGATTCAGAACTGGCTGGCCACCGCTGTGGAGTCAATCTACTGTATCATTGGGAAATGCTGGATTGTTGGGGCATGTTTGGGGCCATGTTTGGGTCGCAGCAGAAAGCCTTGACGACTCCAAACCTTGTTTGATATCGTCCACGAGGTGTGGAGCCTGATGTACATGGTGCGGGATATCTTGGACCTCCACAGCGTAGGCGGTCAGGGTGTCAGATCCTCCGAGGAATTCCCAGGCGCAGCAGCTCACAGGCTTTCGGTGTCTCTACCAAAGCTGGCTAGCTTACCTGTGAACCTTTTGGTAGAGGGGCTTTCCAACCTACCAGTTAGGAATTTTGTACAGGACATCTGTGTTGGCCTTGCTACTTGTGTTTGCCAGTCAGTCTAGAGCACGGATGAGGAAACCATGCAATTACATTGTATTCGCAGGTGACACGACTGTCCGACTGACATGTGTCATGCCATGTAATCATTGCAGGGTGCCATGGGTTGCCTTTGTGTTTTGCCAGGTAAAGGCAGCGGCTTCATCTCAGTTCCAGATGTGGACGTCAGTAGTTGGGATCGCCAGCCCTTGAAGCGGCTCATCAGCACTGAGGTGCTTTGTATTCGGGCAAGATTTGGCTGAGTTTTGCCATGACACAGCTTTGGTATTAGTGCAAGGCGCGTGTACCGTAACGTGGTGCAAAATGTGGGTGTAAGTCAGACCGATGGACCTGAGTGCTGGAAAAAAATCTTGATATCCTGTTAGAAAACGCACCAAAGGCGCTCAGAAATCAGCTCTTGAGGCGCTTAGCCGCCATGGCACCAGGCAGTACCTTGAAGGTCATGAAAAATGGCAAGGCACGGCGTTGGAGAGAGCGAGAGAGAGAGAGAGAGATGTGCAGTTTGTATGTAGCAGGTTGGCCCGTAGATACTTGGTGGCCAAGAGGTGTAAGAGACAAGGTACAAAATATTACTGCGAACCCCAAGCGGGGGAAAAAACCCGAAGCAGCAGCGGCTGCCTCTTTCTTGAGCCATCCAAAAGGTAGCGTGTCATCGCTTGTGCAGGGGCCATGCCAGTGAGACGACTGAAGCATGTAAAACCCCTGAGACATGTGAACACTTCTTGATTTGTGCGTGTCCATCCAAATTGAAAATGCCACCACACTCCCCTATGTTGCGACACAGCAACATGTCGGTGGCAGCCCAAAATGCCAGACCAAAGCTTCGTTGGCTGGTCTTGGGAAAGGAAAAAAGGGAAGCTCTGCTACATGTCCTCCTCCTCGTTCTCGGGAGTCTCAGCAGCGTCCACGTTCTCCTCCTCAGACACCAGGGAGTAGTCATCACTGGTGTTGGCCTCAGACTCCAATGCCTCCTCCTGGAAGCTTTCAGCCTCTTCCAAGCCCTCCGGGGGAGGATTCAATCGCCGTTCAGCCTGGTATGGAGTGCCCAGGGCCTTGGCGACCAAGGTAGGCCGGTTAGCCCATGCTCCAGCCACGGACCCCCGCGGGGTAATCAGCCCCGGGTCCCCTCGTGTGGCCCACTCCCCAGGGATCACCGTAGAGCTCGACGATGCTAAGCCACCTGGGTTCTGCTCTGGAGGTCGCATTGCCACCCTCAAAGAAGCCAGCAGCGGGTTTTCACCAGGTCGATCTCCAGCTCCAGTTGGGATGACCCCCATAGGTCCTGCTCCCATCGACAGATCCGGCCGAAGTCATCCGGCCTTCTTCTCGAGCATCGATCGGCCCACCAATGCCCATAGCGGCTCTTCCACGAGGTCCAGGTCCAGGTCGGCCTCGAGGACGGGTCTCCTTCAGCTTCTGCAGGCGCCTGATACCGGCCATACTTATGAGTTGGCCTGCAGTACCCCTCAGCCATCGGCTTCGGTGCAGCTCCAGCCCCGGGCGGTGGATTGACACTCGACAGGCCACCCTGCCCTGCACCGCTAGGAGGCGGACCAGTTGGAAGCGATCCCGCCATCCCATGAGGTGGTGGACCCGCTGGCGGTGGTCCTGGCATTGCATGGTGTACTGGAACTGCTGGTGGTTTGGCCATACGGTTCATCCAACCCTGCATATTCTGTCGCTGGAACCAAGCCTGAGGTGGTGGTTTTCTTCCAGGTTGGACCATCCCGTGCTCAAACGGAACCCCTGGGTCAGCCTCCTCTTCTTCGGTGCTTTCTCTGGCCCCAGGTGGTGGGTAAGCACTTGACATGCCACCCTGCTTCACCATCGGTGGTAGGTTCTCCTCGCTCCAGGTCACCACATCAGGTCGGATCCTGGGCAACCCTGAGCTGTTGGCCCCACTCTGGTCGCCCTCCTTGATCCTGAAAAAGGTGAAGCCCTTCCACTGTCCAACCCCTGGCACAGGCTGGCTTCCAAAGCCCCAGTGGTCGCAGTGCACCTGCCGGGTCCAGGGTCGACCACCGGTGCAATGCCATATCACAGTCGTCCTTTCCGGCTCCAAGTCCTCGCACCTCACCGGGGTGCTTGTGTGCACCGGGTGGTACAGCCTGGATTGGAGTCCACCGTGGACCCTGACCCACCACCCACCAGGCAAGCTGCGCCAGCGGTCACTGCTTCCCGTCGGCAAGCTCTGGAACTCTGCGTCATCCCATGGACCGCTCCACGATCCAGCAGCCATGGCTCCACGCACTGCACAAAGGCGAGGCACGATTGGGGAGCCTGTGAGGCTACAGTCGGAAGTAGGTTCAGTAGGGTTAGTAGGGCCTGGTTCATTTTCCCTAGGCCTCTTTTCTTGGTTTTGTGCTGGTCTTGGTTCCTTCTTTTCTTCAACTGGTTTAGCCATAGATGCCAGCCCTTCCATGCAACACATCCATGCTGTCAAAGCTGACAAGCTCACAGCTCCAGCCGTTTTCACAAGACTGCTCGCCCCATGTTGGAGCATCAAACCTCCTAAGGCTACCACCGCCTCTGTTAGGCGACACAAACGGGATGATTCAGTCGGCTGCACAAACCTAACTAGGCCTACAGTCCTACGAAAAACTTCCCAGCTCGCCATCAGCACCACCGGCTTCGTGAGGAGGTCTGCTGCAAGCTCTGAGCCAGGGGTGTGCTGAACCCGCCATTCTCGTGCTGCCAGTCGCTCCCTCAAGACGAAGCTTCTCAGTCTCAAATGTCTGGTTCTCCAAGGGCCATCAGGAGCCAAAAGAAGCTGGATCCCTGACAGGTTGTCTCCTCGAATCTCAAACTGGCCGCTCTCCACCAGGTCGTTGTGCTCCAACACATTGAGGATCACCTGCAAGGACTCACCCATCGTCAGCGCATCCACATAGCCGATCAACTCAGCTTCTGTGCTGCTAAGGGCTGCAAAAGGCTGCCTTCGGCTTTCCCATTGGACCAAGGCATTTCCCCACAGCGCCAGGATTCCTTGGCACCCTCGAAGTCCTTGTGGAGCATGAGATGCATCGGAAAGGAGTGTCACCTTCCTCAAGTCACCATTCGGCCGCCCTTGGTCATCCAGGCAGCTGCCATAGGAAAGCACCATGTCCACGGTCTCCTGCAAGTAGCCCAGAACATGCCGACCCAATTCTTTGACTCTCCTTGGACATCTCGTGACCCATCCACTCAGCGTTGAAATTGCAAATGCAAGGTCTGGTCTCGTTCTGCCACTCAGCCAGAGGAGTTCACCCAGAAGTTGTTGGCACTGCTTCACCGCATCAGGATCCGGGCTCTCCTCCTCTTCCGGGACCAAGTCGATCTTTGGCAAAGGGACCTGTCGGCCAGGAACTGGACCGTGGCGCTCCAAAAGCTCCCGGGCAAAATCTGGCTGACCAAGCAAGAGGGTATCTCCTTGCCATCTCAACTGCATTCCACAAAACTTCAACCACCGGGTATCACCAACCCATTCCACTTCAGAGCAGGTCCACTCCTTGCGAACCCTGGCCAACGTGGATTCAACGACTTCCCTGGGCCCAGCGCACAAGACATCGTCCACATAGACAATGAGGAAGCCCAGTGGGTTGGCATAGGCATCGTCATTGAGGTTTGGAGTGGGATACTGCTCCTTGGGCACTCCCATGATCGACCAAATGTTGGGCTCCGGCGATCTGGCCAAGTGACATCTGTGGGTCTGCGTTTCCCACCTGAAGGTTCCCAGATGCCGATCCCTGAAAGTGGCCCAATCAGCTGGCGATGTGTCTAAGCCATACATGGCTCCATCACAGATCCATCGTTCGTCCAAACCCACCAGTCCTGTCGAAGTCAACAATCTCGGGGGCTCCACAACTAATAACTGCCTCCTCGATTGTGACCTCGGGGCCAAGAGAAAAGCCCCACGCACATCCGTGGATGCTAAGGCCCATCCTTCTCCAGCTGATTTGCGTAGGACGCACCTCAGAGCCGTTGCGTCCACCCCACCTGCATATAGATCGGCAGTGGTGGATTGGCTGCTGCCTCCACCTCGATCACCACCAGATCCATGCCCTCGACCTCCAGGCACTTGAGAAGGTAGAGGAGGGTCTCCATGAGGATCTTCACAGCCTTGATCTCCATCATCCGGAAGCTGAGGCGCCTTCACATGTCCAGCAGGATGCACCATGTTGCCGCATATGACAATTCTGGCCTTTCTCTTCCCAGACGGGGATTTGATGGTTGGGACAACCTTCGCAGGGGCCACCTCCATCCTGTCGTAGCCCGGCTCACAGGCCAGCTGCTCCAACTTCACCCTTCTGATGGTTCCCGAACTCACCAAGGCTTCCAATTCCGCCTGCAAAGGCTCTTTCCACAAAGCAATGTCCCTCTTGACCTCCGCTAGAGAGACCGTGTAGGTTTGAAGCACCGCCCGCGCATGGCCTGGTGGGTCACTAACATCCAAGGGCATCTGGCTGCTCACAGGGTCGTTGATCTCCTTGGAGAGAGCTGCAAGTCGACAGTCCTTTGCCTGTCGTCTCAGGGCCACGTCATCCACCATAGCCAGCTCCTCCTCCAAGCTCTGCACCTGATCTTCCAGATACTGCAGCCATTGTCCATGTAGTAGCCCCATCTCAGCGCCAACCGCTTCCCTGGCAAGCTCCTGCTCCCACAGCGTTTTCCACCCCCAATGCTCTCGATACACTCCGTCAAGAAGCTCCTTGGGGTTGTTGATCTCCACAGATTCCCAGGCTCGAGCACCTTTTTCTCCACATGGTTCCAACTCCAGAGATGCCTTCGCCCTCATAGAGGCCAGCTCTTGCAAGCCCGACTGCGAAGAAGACCGCAAAGCTGTAGATGCTTCCCCTTGCAAGCCCGATCGTGAAGAAGACCACAAAGCTGTAGATGCTTCCCCTTGCAAGCCCGATCGTGAAGAGGAACACCTGGCTGTAGCTGCTTCCCCTGGCGAGCCCGATCGTGAAGAAGACCACAAGGTTGTAGTTGCATCACAGAAATGGCATGCTCCCTCACCAGGTTGCAACAGGCCGCAACTCCCACACTCCCAAAGTGTCTTCGACGATGCTGCAGAGGTCGTTGTGGAAGGCAAAGATTCGATTGAAGTTCTTGGAGTTTCCATTGAAGTGGGATTGCACTCCCCCCTGCCCACACTGCTCGAAGTAGGGCAGGCATTTCCTTCTCACTTCCATGTTCATCACCTTCATGAAGTTGATCTTGAGGCATTTCATCCGGCGAATAGGCCAAGCTCATGACATCCTCCCCCTGATCTGCATTTCTGGCCTCCCCCCAAACATCATTGGAGTCGCCCTCAGCACCCAGGTCCCCTTGTAGGAGTTGAGGTAGCCCATCATGTTGAAGAGGTTGAGGGACCTTCCGATCCTCCACATAAAGCGGCTGCTTTCCAGTCACCCTCCTCGTTGATGCGTCGTAGAGCTCCATCACCGCCGTCTCTCCTGATTCAGCTGGACATAC